ACAGACCCACAGAGCCAGCATCCCTCCCCTCTCCGTGCAGCCTTCCCCTGGGGCCTGCAGTGGCCCTGCCCCTCGCCACTCCTCTCCTTGGTCCTGCCCCAGGCAAACAACCCAGTTGTGAGACATCCGCAGTGTGAAGACTTGCTCATGGCAGGTCACCAGTCTGGCCCACTGTGGTTCTCGTTCTTGGGGTGGAACTTTCCATTTCCTGATCACTCTCCCAAAGCTGGGGTCCTGACTTTGGGCCCAAGCACTGAGCGCCTACATTGGGCCCTCTAGATGCCTGAGAAATGACTGGCAGCAATCAGCAGGGCAGATCCACCCACTGGCTCCCACTTGCAGGAAAGGCCTGGGTCCCTGCCCACATCCCACGTTTGATGGGGTGTCACTGGGTAAGAGAGGTGCCATCCCTGTCTGAAGGGTGTGGAGCCTGGAGCTGAAGGGTAAAGACCCAGGGAGGGGTGGGGTGCCATCCGTACCCACCTGGCCCAGTGGATGGGTGAGACCCCATGGTTGGAAGGGAGATCGGGGACCGTGAATGGCTATAGGGGGCAAGGGCTGGGCACACGCCAAGCTGGGAGGGGCTGCTATCCCGTCCTCAGAACCTGGCCCACAGGAGTGTCAGCTTTGGAAGCCGCAGCGGTTGGGACTCTGCAGTCCTCCCAGCGGGCACCTCTGGGGGCCACGTCTGGTGAATGACATGGTGGGGGCCACGGTCACATGTGGAAGGCCCTTATTGGGCTGCATAATGTCCCCCAAAACTTGTGCCCACCTGAACCTCAGAGAGGAAACTTGTGTGGAAATAGGGTCATTGCAGATGTGGTCAAGTGAAGGTGAGGCTGGAGTGGAGGGGGAGGCCCTGAGTCCAATGACGGGTATCCCTGTAGGAAGAGGGAAACGTGGACACAGACACCTGCGGCAGGACAGCCATGTGACTACGGAGGCAGAGGTTGGGGTAGCGAGGCTACAAGCCAAGGAACACCTGGAGAGCCAATGGATGGATTCCCCCCAGGGCCTCAGCAAGGGACCAACCCCGACGACGCCTCCAGATGGTGAGAGAATCCCTCTCTGCTGTTCTCAGCCCGTTTGTGGCGATTGGTTACGGTGGCCCTACGACACTGATCAGCACCATCTGGCAGGGGCTGGGCCCCTGGGAGGTCTGGGCATTGGCTGGGCCACAGACCCTCCAGGGTCCTGCTGCTGGTGTTGGTTGTAGCCCATCAGGGAGGCGCAGTGAGGACGCCCCCCAGGCAGGTTCCAGGGGGCTGGGGGAATACCCAGCCCCTCAAGGAAGGCATGGGAACCAAAAAAAAGGAAGCAGAGAGATGCCCTCTCAGCTTGGCCCCTGGGGACGAGGCCCTGTGAGGGGTTGGGGAGCAGGGTTCAACCAGATTTGCTACAAACACACCTGCAGCTCTGGGACGGTGGGAAAGGCTGGGCAGGGGCCCCACCTACATAAGGCCCTCCGCTGGGCCCTGGCTGGTGGTCCCCGGCCTCCTTCCCTCCGCCTCCCACGTCCTGCGGCTGGCCCGGAGCCCCGCTCACCCCGAGCGCCACAGAAGCAGGATGTCTTCTAGAGAAGGCTACTCCAGAAGTCAAAACAGCATGAAATTTAATTTTCCGCCTATTTGACAAGGCTTGGTCCAGGCCCCAATCAGCGGGGAGATAAGGGTCCTCGGCCGGGTGTGAGCCAGCTGGGCCCGCGGCAAACACTCCACGGTCCCCAGGCAGGCTGCGCTCCCCCCGCGGGGCCTGGTTGCCGGGCACTAAAGCAAACGGGCTCTGTTTGCCCAGTCTGCGACGACAATGCAGTCACCAAATATTTGCCAGCCCGGTCGGCCGCGGAACCCGGCTATAAATGCTTGAGCCCAGGTGGAGGTGGCTTGCCCAGCAGGAGCCGCAGGCCTCAGCAGGTAGGAGCTGGGCGGGACAGCAGGCCGGAGGGCGCTGGTGGCGGGGATCTGGCCTCCTCCCCCTCCCTTCTGCCCAGGTGGTCTTTGGGGACCACCTACCCACTGGGGAGGTCGCCAGAAGGGCTGGGCAGGGCCAGGCCATCGATGAAGCGTTGGGGCAAGCACAGGCCGTGGGCAGGAAGACACCTAAGTCTTGGCTCCGCACTAGCGGCCATCCCCACAGCCCAGCGCTGGGGCCATGGGACACCCCAGCAGGGAAGATCCGGAGCCCAGCTGGCCAGCGAGTGACAGGGAGCGGGGAGGCTGGGGCCGCTCCCCTGCCCTCCCAGGTCGGCCTGACTCTGGGTGACGCCTGTGTACTCGCCCGGCCCCCGTCAAGCGAGGGGGAGCTGTTTTCTGACAAGTGGGAAGCCCCTCTTCCTCTCCCAGCACCACCTTCCCTTTCTTCCTCCCTTCTGCCCGGGGCTCTCGCTAGAAGGCTGAAGGGCTCTCCCACCTGCCTCCCCGCTCAGCTGGAGGGGCTGCTGGCACTTGTCCTGTGGGTGGGGGGCACTCTGGCATTCAAAATCAGCCCACCATATCAGTCACCTCTCAAATTCCACCCCCTCCCCAGTCCTGCGAGCCCCAGCCAAGCCCCAGGCCTGCACGCCTTCCCCACCTCCCCTGAGCCCACCAAACCCCAGAGTGCCCAGGTTAGGGATGCCCAAGGTGTTGTCTCTTTTACCAACCTCCCCCAACAGGGAGCAAAGGAAAGCCTGGGACATGGCTGCATCTATTAGAATTAGATGGGACAGGAGAAATGGCTCTGACTCTGAGCAACCCCCTGGAGCCACCCGAAGTGGCTGGTTGAGGTAGCAGGCCCAGCTCCCCAGCTCAGTGTGGGCATCTCAGGGACACAGGACCCTTCCAAGCCCAGGCACACATGTGATGGGCCTAGGGATCCCCTCTTCCGCCAGCACCTGAGCCAAGGACCGTAGCAACCCTGCACTGGGACAAGGCTCTGGGCTCCAGAGCCCCAAACCTACCAGCACCCCAGACCCTGGGCATGTGTCCTCCCCACCCCCTGCTTTGCTCCCCCGTCTCGACTGTTCCAGTGGCACTGTCCCCTCACCCGCCCTCCCTGCGCCCGCTGACCACCCCCCTACAGGACAGGATGCACTGCTCATCTGGCCGGTGACCATCCCGTAGGCTCTCGCCCTCTACTTCTGCCATGCCCATCCGCCCAGGGTGCCCATCGCCCTCACTGCTGTAATCTCACCGCTTCTGAGCTCGGTGCCCTCTCCAAGCACAGGTGGCCAGGCCATAAGCCTGCAGTGACCCATTCCCCCAAGGGGGCTATGGGCTCCAATCGCTAATCTGTCCCCTCTCCACCTACCTCCACAGCCGGCACCTGCTGCCCCAGAGGCCCCAGAAGCTCAGGACGTGGAGGAGATGGCCGCAGGTGTGATCCGGCCACTCTGTGACTTCCTGCTGCCCCTGCCGTCCCATGGGCCCTTCCTGCCCTCAGACCCAGAGCCTCCAGACACTTCTGAGGAGGAGGAGGGAGAGGAAGAGGAGGAGGATGGGGAGGAGGAGCTGGAGGTCGAGGGGCCAGGAGCCCGCAGCCCAGCCCCCCAGAGCTCAGGTTGGGCCTCAGCTGCCCCAGAAGTGGCCCCTCTGGATCCGAGTGGCCCCGAGACGCCGCTGCAGCTGCTGCGGTTCTCCGAGCTCATCAGCGGCGACATCCAGAGGTACTTCGGCCCCAAGGACAGGGGACAGGACCCAGACGCCTGTGACATCTACGCCGATGGCTGCCGAGTGGGCAGCTCAGCCCAGGAGCTCTACTGTGCTGACCTGGTGCGCCTGGCCCAGGGTGGGCCCCCAGATGACGGCGAGGCTGCAGAGCCCAGCATTCACTCGCCCGGGGGTTCCGAGGGGCAGGCGCGGGGGCTGGGCCTCGGTGGGGTCAGGGCACAACCGCTGGGGCCCCTGGCAGAGCTCTTTGACTACGGGCTGCGGCAATACCCGGTGCCCAGGGCGTGGGCCAGCCGCCGGCTGCGGCTGGAGCGCAAGTATGGCCACATCACCCCCATGACCCAGAGGAAGCTGCCTCCCTCCTTCTGGAAGGAGCCAGCGCCCAGTCCCCTGGGCCTGCTCCACCCTGGCACGCCCGACTTCAGCGACCTGCTGGCCAGCTGGTCAGCGGAAGCTGGCCCCGAGCCACCCGGTGGGGGCGCCCAGACCCTGGAGGAGGTGCAGCTGGCAGAGGCCTAGCGAGTGGGCCAGGGTCAGCGGGGGTGAGAAGGAGGCACCAGGGGTCCAGACTCTCCTGCGTGCTGTCCTGGGAGGAGCCCCCAGGGCCCTCTGACCAGGGCGGCCACCAGCAGGACAAACCAGCTCAAGTGGGGACTTCCCGGGCCCAGGAAGAAGGGCTGGGCTCATCCTGGGACCTGGAGCTGCCACAACCAGAGGCCAGCAGGGCAGGGAATGGGCAGGAACTGCTGTCCCAGCCACCCTGGCCCTCGGCCCTTGGAGCTCTCGTCACAGGAGGGGAGGACAGGGCAGGAGCTGCAGCCCCTCAGAGGCCATGGGCTCAGGGGGTCAACACATGGTGCCCCCCTCTGGGTGAAGCCCATTCTCCACCCAGACCAGCTGCTCCCCCCACTGCCCGGCCACCTGGCTGGCCCCAGGTGGCTCCTCCTCACGGCCCCACAGCAGGTGGCTCCCGCGGGTTTTCCTGGAGGAGCAGGAAGAGGGGGTGCTGCCTGAGGAGGTGGGTGAACACACTGTTTGCTCCCTCGATGAGGGGAGGGAGAGCCGCTTCCTCCCCAGGCACCACACAGGTGTGAGGGCACGGCTGCCAGCCATGGACCCTGGGGCTGGGCCACCTGCCTGCTGGGGGGTCCAGCCGGGAGCAGGTGGGGCTCCCAGGCCGCTGTGCTTGTTGGTGGGAAGGCCCAGGAAAGCTGTTGGGCCTGGGGCTCGGCTGGCTTGGGCAGAAGGGGGTTCTGGGAGTCTGGAGATGGACAGGCTCCTGGGAAGGGTCCTCTCGGTCACTCCCGCTGCCTGGGCCCTCCTGAGCCCCCGGGCAGGAACTCCAGGCTCTGACAAGAGCAGGAGCTGGCACGTTTATTTCTGGGAAAGGGGCAAGGACAGGAGGCAGTGGGCAGGCTCCTGGCCAAGGGACTTCTCCGAGACGGCTCTTGGCCTCCGCTGGGCCATCAGGTTCATGAAGACTGCCTTCCACTGCAGCCACCTGCCCAGAGATCCGGCTCATGGCTCCTGGACCCCGCCTCTGCCTGCTGCCCTGGGGGCTCCCCCAGCCCTGACCCCGGACCTGGAGGGGTCTCCAGAAGGCGGTGCCCCACTGCCCACCTCACGGCCTGGTACACGCCCCAGCAGTTCACAGGGACCACCTCGCCAGCGGCCACGTCCTTGATGAAGAAGCGCTGCCTCACCAGGGACATGAGGACCCTCCTGCTACCCAGCGTCAGGGCCCACGGGCCCTCCTCACTCCACAGGCGCATCATGCTCTCCCGCAGGGTGGCCATCTCCTCTGTGCGCTGGGACACAGCGGTGCGTGGGGGTGGAAGGGGGACTGACGTGATGCAGGAATGCAGGGGGTGGGGTATTGAGGAGCAACGGTGAATGGGATTTATCTCCCTCTGAGCAAACCAGGGCCTTATCTGCCCAGAAACACTGCTTGGGCTCAACTCGCAGACAGACGGCTGGGGGAGGGCCAGGCTGGGAGAGGCAAGGGGAGCTGGGAGTCAGGCTCCGCACCAGAGAAAGGCGGCTACCTCCAGGGCCTGGGAGCCCCCTGGAGCCACGGGGGGCGCGCCGGGCGAGGGTCTAGCCTGGGGCCCCCTCTCACCAGCTTGGTTTCTGTATTAAATCTGAGGTTCTGGACGGCCTTGTTGTCCCGGATGCTGTCTTCCAATTTAATTATTTGGTTCTGAAACTAAACGCGGCCCCCATTCGTGGGCAGGGACTCAGGGTGTCTGCAGGCCTGGGGGCAGCCCCACCCTAGTCACTTGGGGCGGGAGCTGGGCTCTGACATTCGGGTCCTTGCCCCTCAGTAGGATCCAGGGTGCGTCACTCAGCAGTGACCCGGCCAGTGCTGGGGGCCACTCCTTTCACTGTGATTGCGGATAACCCCCGGCATTTGGGGGCTCCAAACAGGTGCCCCCACTTGGTACTTCTGGAGGCTGCAGAGCTACCCAGCAGAACAGCTGGTTCCGTGAGCCTCAACCCCCACCCCAGCAGGGTGTCCTGGATCTGAGCCTCCCCGGGGGCCCCTCTGCAGGGGGCTGCCCTGTCTGAACCAGGCGACCTCCCTCCTCTGCTGGGTGTGATGGGCACCAGGGCCCGAGGGGTACCGTGGTCAGCTTGCCCTGGATCTCAGCGATCTTCCGCCCGGGGTTGCCCTTCCTGAGCAGCTGCACAGACGACAGCAGAGTGGCCAGCTCCTGCCGCACAGCCCCGAGCTCGAACTCTCTGTGGGCACAGGAGGCCAGGGCTGCCAGGCTCTGGGGGGTGCCCAGGGGGCAGGGTGGGTGGGGGGAGGAGGCCCTGGACAGAGCACAAAGACGGTCAGCCTTGTCACCCCTCCACTGGGGACTGGGGGTCCCCGGCAGGCGACAGAGGGAAAAGCTCAAGGATCTGTGCAGGCTGCACCAGTGGGCACCAGGCCTGGGCTGGGGAGGGGTTGGGGCTGCCACCGGTGCTGGGGGCTGGGGGAGGAGCACCCTCGAGAAGCCTCATTGATGCGGCAGGGTCATTCTGAGACAGCTGTGTCCTCCTGGGGTGGGGACCAGTCCCTCCCCTAATGGTCAGCAGAGTTTGCTCCCCTACCCAGGGACCACGGTCCTGCCAGGCTGTGACAGGGGGCTGGAGCCCTCACCTGGCTTTGGCCTCCGCAGAGATCTTGAGGTCTGAGTCGCTCTTGTGAAGGACACACTTGTCAGAGACGGCCTCTATCTGCAACGGGGAGCCGGGAGTGGTGGGCAGCTAAGGGGGCACAGTGGGGCAGGGGAGGCTGCGCCCCCGGCCCTCACCCACCTGTCGAGGCAGGCTGTCCACTTTCTCCCGCACCTCCCTCAGGTGCGCCTCGGCCTCTGTTAGACACCGGGCCAGTCCCTCCAGCGATTTCCGCTCTGCACCTTCCCACTCATTCTTTGCCTGGGACATGGACACCCAGTGAGTGCCAGAGCCCAGAGAGGGAAGGCGGTCAGACAGACAGATGGGGCCCATTGGAGCCAGTGGGACCCAAGATATTTGTGCCCATGCGGCAGAGAGCTCCTGGACAGCACAGAGCCCCCACGTCCACCTCTGACTCCAAGCACGTCCACACAGACCTCACACAGCCCCGGGATGGCCTGGCCCGGCACATCTGGGGACGCGGGTCCTCCTGGGCAGGGCCACCAGGCTGAACGGAGCCACACCCCTGAGAAGAAGGCCTTGCTGGGACCCTCCTCACGCCAGCCCTGGCTGCCCCCTGGAGTCGGGAGGGAGTGGGACAGAGGGTAGACAGCCTGCCCGCACCCGCAGGAGAGGGGCTGCAGGGCAGGTCCGGGGTACCCAGCCCACAGCCAAAGGGTGTGCATGTGTGTCCACAGCAGCACTATCCACATCGCCAAAAAGGGCAACGGCCCAGTGGCCATCAGCTGACGAACAGATAACCAGTTGGTCCATCCACAGGGTGGAATTTTATTCAGCCATTAACAGGAATGAAGCACCGACACATGCTACAATGCGAATGGACCTCAAAAACAGGATGCTCAGTGAGAGAACCAGACACAGACGGCCACACAGTGTGTGAGTCCATTTCTATAAACGTCCAGAAAACGCAAATCCACAGGGACAGAAAGTGGATCAGTGGGCACCAGGGCTGGGGGAGGGGGCAGTGACCACTAATGGCACAGGGCTTCCTTTTGGGGTCATGAAAAGTTCTAAAGGTGCTTGTGGTGGTGGTTGCACAACCTGAAAATACAAAAACCCACTAAATTGTATACTTTAAAAGGGTAAATTGTATGGTGTATGAATTAAACCTCAATAAAGCTATTACGAAAAAAGAGAGGAAAGAACCCAAGGAGCAGAGGCTGTGGAGCCCCCCGCGTGGCGGAAGCATCGGCCTCTGAAACTTTCAGCAGTTGACCCCGGGCGGCCCTGCCCCGAGCAGGAGGTCACTGGGGCTCGGGACCAACTGGGCCTTGCGGACAGTTGTGGGGTCGGGGTGGGAGGCTTGGGACCCGCTGGTCAAGCTCCACCCTCAGGGATGGCTGGGGAGCAGAAGGGGCACCAGGACCCCACCTGTCTGGGCGTGCTCTTCCCCACACAGCTCTGCACGCTCACCTCGCGTAGCCTCAGGCTCAGCGTCTGCTCCTGCAGGTCCAGCCTCCAGCTCAGGGCCAGGAAGTGGTCGCTCAGGTCCTTCCCCTGCCTGACCAGCTCGGCCAGGGACACCTCCAGGGCCCGACTCTTCTCTTGGAGCTGCGGGAGGCCAGGCTGAGTGTGGGTGCCTGCACAGGTGGGGAACCCCGCCAGGAGACCTGACTGGTCCCCGACACCCTCACCAGCTCCAGTGCGCTGTGTGTCTCCTGCTGGGCCAGCTCGCTAGCCAGCTGCATGGCCTCCAGGTTCTCCTGCAGGTAGGAGGCCAGCTGCCTGGCCTGGCTCTCCTCCAAGTGCTCCTTGGCGTCCCTGGGGGTTGGTGCCACCAAGAAAGACTGTCCCTCAGCTGAGGCTGGCCTGCCCCTCAGCGCTGGGCCAGGGATGGGAGCCTGGCTGCTGGCCCCAGAACCATTCAGGAGACCCCGGGGAGCGGAGGATGGAGTGTCGTCACAGGGGCCACCAAGACGGTGCTGTGTCCACCACTGCCACAGAGTTCTCTCGTGAGGGACAGGCTGGGGGAGGGACCGGGGCCCCAGGGTGCTTTGCCCCAGGGTGCCCCACTGGGCCTGGTGCCAGCTCAGGATGCTGGAGTCGGGGAAGAAGGGCCACTCCCATCCACCCGGCCTGACGGACACCTACCGGGCCTTCTGCTCAGCCAGCAGGACGCGGTTCAGTGACACCTGGTTCTGCTGCACGAATTTGGTCAGCTGGACCACAGCCTTGTCCAGGCCCCGGCACTGCTCCAGGAGGTGGCACTCTTCCTGCTGCTGTGTGGAGGCGGCCCTGAGACCCTTACCTCTAGACACCCCCAGCCCGCGCCTGGCCTGCAGCCGCCCACCTTGCACTGCCCCCACAGGGCCTGTGCTCGCTCCTCGTCCAGCTCCTGGAGCTTCTGCCACCTGCTCTCCAGCTCCTCCCGCAGGCCACTCTCCGCCTTCAGCCGGGCGCTCTCCGAGGCCTTCATTCTCTGCAGGAAGACCCCGCCCCTGTCTGACGGAGCGAGGCAAGTGGGGGGCACAGCCAGGCCCACCAGCCCCCAGGCTCCCACCTTCTCGAGGGCCAGGAAGCTCTTCTGCAGGAAGCCGCACAGCTTGGCCTCCCTCTTGAGGAAGCGGAGGCTCATCTCCTCGCCAAGCTTGGTCACCTGGGCCTGCAGAGGGAGGTCCACATGGTCACCATGCAGCCTCTGTGCTGGGCGTCCTCCTTGCCACAGCCACCCCTGCCCTCTGTGCCATCGCGGGCTTGGTTGTTTTCTTGTCCAATTGTCTCCATCAGAGGGATCCTTGGTCCTGTGTCCCTTGCTGTCCCTGACCAAGCCGGGCTCACCACACCCTCCTGAGGAAGGAAGGGCAGGGGCCACATGTCTCCCCAGAGGGCCAGGCACAAGGGTTGTGAAGGTCTGAAGGCTGAGCTCACATGGGTCCAGAACACACTTGGGGCTCTCAGTGACCACCAGATGCCACCCAGGGAAGGTGGCACAACAGCAACCAAATCACACCCCAAGCTGGCAGCCTCAGGCAGGGAGGCCAAGTGTACATGTGAGCACACACTCATGCACATGAACACATTTGTGCACACAGTCATACACAAGCGTGCACACGTTTGCATATGTACACACATAAATCCAGGCATGCACACAATACCTGCACTCACACTCATGCACATGCGTGCACATACCCTTGCCCTCCCCCTCCTCTCCATCAGCTCCTTTCCTGCTGCACCAAGGGTCTGAGGGTACAGGAGATGGGGAGTCAAGGCCCAGCCAGGCCCTGTCTCCTGGCCTCAGAAACCCACAGGACAGGCAGGCCCCAGCATGAGGCATCTTTTCTGCAGCCACAGAGCCCTTGCAGGGCCAGGAGAGCTGCCCACAGCCCAGAGAGCAGGTGTGCCCTGAGGCCCTGCCCCATGCGGGATGACCTGGAGCAGGGATCAGCAAACTCTTGCTGTAAAGAGGCAGAGAGTAGACGTTTTAGGTTTATGGGCCACAGGCTTTCAGTCCCAGCTCCTCAGCTCTGCGGTACCAGCACAAAGGCAGCCATGGACAATGGTAAATGAATGGGCATGGCTGTGCACCGATAAAACTTTATTTACAAAAACAGGCAGCGGTGGGCCGGCCACGTGGCTTAGCGGTTGGGTGTGCGTGCTCCACTGCTGGCAGCCCTGGTTCGGATCCCGGGCGCGCACGGATGCACCGCACCGCTTCTCCGGCCATGCTGAGGCCACGTCCCACATACAGCAACTAGAAGGATGTGCAACTATGATGTACAACTATCTACTGAGGCTTTGGGGAGAGAAAAAAAAAAAGAGTAGAATAAAATTATCCTTTAAAAAAAAAAAAAAAAGCTGGCAGCGGGCCACAGCATGCTCACCCCAGTCCTACAACGCACTCTGGGAAGAGGCTGCGCCCCATGAGCGTGCCTGGCATGTCAGGAATCCCTGGGCCCAATCCTGTGGAGCTGTTGGCCGGCAGGAGGCAGGCAGCCTCTCAATGGAGCAAAGACACTAACTTCCCAAAGGGCAACGGGAGAGGACGCCACTGAAGCTGGGCAGCCGAGCTATGTGGGAAGCAGCTGGGGAGCACTCGGCCCCCCGTCTCCAGCGTGCAGTGTAGTCCCCGGTCTCTATTTGCAAAGCTGAGAGGCCAGGTCTAGAGACATGCCTGCCCCATCCCCCACACCTCCTAGGGCCACACGCAGGAGGGGAAACTGCACCAGCCGCGATCGGGCCCCCAGGGAGATGCGTCTTCAGGAAGGAAACTTCCACTTCACCCAGAGGGAAGCACTGAGGTTGAAAATGGCCGAGGAGGGGGCTTTGGGGCTATGAGGCTCTACTTCTTGATCTGGGTGCTGGTTACACGGCAGGGAGGTGGGGGGAGCAGCGACTGAGACGGCACTGGTGCCAATGACGGGACTCAGTGATGAAGGACACGCTCCATCTTGATGCTGCACAAATCAGCCGGCACTGGCCACGTGTGACCACTGAGCATTTAAAATGTGGCTCATGTGATCGAGGAACTGAGTTTTAAATTGTCTAAGATGCTAGCTAATTTCAATATACAGAGCCACCTGTGGCTAACGGCCACTGTATTGGGCAACACAGGACTAGGGTCACCTCCCAGGTCTGGTCACATGGACAGAACCAAAGAGAATGCTGGAGTGAGGGAAGAACCTGCCGACAGGAAGGATAGGGGCTGGCAGGGGCGTTGGAGTCTCTTTTGGATGGACTTTCTCGCCGGCAGCTCAGCTGGCTGCACGGATGCCAGAGCCTGCCCGGCCCAGCCTCCCTCTCAGGTACCTGCATCTTGGCCACCTCATGGTCCACCCTCTGGCTGGCCTCCTCCTGGCTCTTCTGCAGGGCACCGCAGGCCACCTCCCGATCCTGCTCCTCCTGCTCCAGCTTCCCGGTCAGCTTGGCCAACCTAGAGGCAATGGCCGCAGGTTACAGCAGCCCAGCCTGCCGGAGGGCCTGGCTGGGGAGCCACAGGGAGGCTGGCAGGGCCCCTGGACACCGAGTGTCCTTCTTGGGCTGGGGTCTGCATCTGGGGGCCCAGGCTGACCTCCCGGCCAGCAGAGCAGGAGGTATACAACCCCCACCCCCGGGGCACATACAGAGAGGGGGCAAGGCGCCAATGTCTGTGTCCCACCCTGACGGTGAGAGCTGGGCCCGGGGTGGGAGTGACTGATGGAGAAGGGCAACAGGTGGGAGCCGTGGGCTGGAGTCTCCTTCCCCCACAGAGGGTCCACAGGGGGTCTGAGGCCCCATCAACCAGCAGCTTGGCATCGAGGGCAGAGGATGCCTGCCCTGCCTTGGTGACTCCCACACGACCACACACGGTGGGTCCAGAGCCAGCCCCCCAGGAGGGAGGCGGGCAGTGCCCACCTCAGGTTGGCCTCCTGCTCGGCACTCTTCCGCTCAGAGTCCTGGAGCGCCTGCTTCCTCCTGATCTGGGTCAGGGCCTCCCGGACGTCCACCAGCCTGCCACACGAGAGCCGCTTCTGCCCAGGGCCTGCCCAGCACACCCTCCTAGCAGTGAGGAGCAGCCGGAGCAGGCTGGTGGCCTTTGGGGGTCAGGGGCCTGGCCGGGAGGCCCCAGCAGCAAGCCTCCCCCTCTCCCAGGCCTCTTTGGCTGCTGAGCTTAAAAACTCAGACCTTAGTAGGTCTGTGAATGTGTACTGCTTCCCTGAGCAAGACAACTAATGGGGGAAACGAGGCTGATGGGTCAGTGGGGGTGGCACCTGCCACAGCTTTCCCAAAGCCCCTTTCCCTCCCGCTAAGGCCTGTACCACAGATATGGGGGTACCTCTTGTCCAGGGCCTGCATCTGGTTCTGGAGGCTGGGGAGCTGCAAGCAGGAGGGCGTGGGTTGAGCGCAGGCCCCCATGGCATGACCAGCACAGATATGGGGCCCCCCAGCCAGGCACCAAGGAGTCGCTAGACTCCCCGCCAGGGAAGCAGGAGCTGAGCTGGGCTCAGGGTCCAGGCAGCAGCTGCTCCGAAACCGGGAACAGGGGAGCCCAGCCTCTGGGCAGGGATGCATTGCCTCCCAGCCGACGGCGGCTCACCTCACAGGCCTCCTTCTCAGGGCCACAAGCCGCCTGCTGTCTCTCCTGCTGCAGCCTCTTCAGCTCTGAGTCCTGCAGCTGCACGCAGGCACGCACCTGGAGCAGCTCCCGCAGCAGACTCAGCGTGGCGCACTCACAGCGGTCCTTGTGCCCCCGGAGGGAAGCCACCTCGGCCTGCAGGTCAGCCACCCTGGTGGGGGTGGGGAGCCAGCCGAGTCAGGCCACACATGCCAGGGGGCTGATAGCGTGGGCCTCCCGCCCCTGCCCTCCACGGGGCTCACCACTGCTCCAGCTGCTTCCAGTGCTTAGGGGTGTCCTGCTCCGGGACGGAGGCAGTGGACGCCAGGCGGCTGGACTCACACCTCCCTGAGATCTCCTCCAGACTCAGGGGCTCGGGGCTGGCCAACCCCTTCTCCAGGAGGAGCCCCAGGTCCTCCAGGGTCACGAAACTCAGCTGGGAAGGGGGCGAGGCCCCCGACGAGGGGCTGCTACCAGCCAGCTCTGCAAGAAATCACTTTGGAGCTCCCCCCTTGGCCTCCTGGGCTGATGAGAGGTGCCAGCTCCCAGGTGGAGCTTGGGATAGCAGGGACCCAGACCCCTGCAGAGAGTGCCCACCAAGCTCACCTCGGCTCATCCTGCTGTCACACAGCCCGGACCAGGGAGGCTCGGCTCTCGTCGCTCCACAGCAGGAAGCTCAGGCTCAGAGAGGTCCAGGCCCCTGCCTAAAGACACACACCACTGACCAGGAGAAACGGACACCCTGCACAGGCCCTTCCCTGGACTGTCCTCCTGGCTCTGGCCCCAGCTGGCACCTGGCTCACCTGATACAGCTTCACTGGCAGCCTCCACCCACGGCTTTGACCACTGCCAAAAGGTCCTGGGCCTAGTGCCCCAGGGCTGCCCAAAGCTGGACACCAGGGCACCCGGAGGGTGGGGGAGCGTTTAGGGGGTTGGCAGGAAGGAGGCGGGCAAGTGAGGGGCTGGAAGGCCCCAGGGCGTTGGGGGCACATGTAGGGTGTGAAGAGGTGAGCTCCTGCCCTCACATCTTACCTCCTTCCAAGACAATGCCAAGGCAGGCAGAGGGGCGGGCGGGAACCTTCCTTTCCTCACCAGAACCTTGTGACTTCACGGCCCAACTGCCTGTGGAACCTGAGCCCTCAACTCTCTCATTCCTGCAAGGCTTCCCCAACTGCCTGTTTCTGGAAGGATCCGAGGGAGCACCCTTCAGCCAGCCAATGGAAGAGTAGAGCAGTGGCTGCCGGCCTGTGGTCAGTGTCAGGAGACCCCTGGCCTGGCCTGAGCAAGAGAGATGTCCAGAAGCAATTGCTGGCCCTTTGGTCAGAGAAGCAGAGCAGGGAGGCCGGGAGCCCCAGGACAGACCTATCACAGCCAGTCCCACACTCTGAGAAGAGGCCCCACCCCAGAGAGGCTGCCGGCCTCACGTGTGGGCTGCACTGGCGACTTCAATTTTCCTAGCAGCCACAGCAAAAAGTAAAGACACAAGTAAAGTGAATTTTAATAGCCCATTTTATTTAACCCAACATATCTAAAATGGCACCATTCCAACACGCGATCAATACCAAGACGTTAAAGCGATGCCATACGTGCTTTCTTCACACCAAGTCTGGAGTCTGGTGTGCGGTTTCGCGTCTCGCTTCAGGGCAGCGTGGATACTCGGCCCCACGCCCTCCCCACATCATCACCCCAGACTGACCCATGGAAATCTTCCCTGTGACAAGGCACACAAATCAGTCAACCTTCGTCCAGAGGGCGCCTAAAGCCGCCGCAAGGCCCCACTGCCTGTGGCTGCACCACACACCTCGCGGCCCAGCACTCACGGGAGAGAGAGACGTGCAGAGCTGCATGCAGACCCAGGGGAAGCTTTCCCACCTGTCCTGGGCACCCAAGCTTGGGGACAGGGAGTGACTGGGAAAATGGGAGGAGGGAAAGCGAGCCTTCCCCACCAAGCCCTGTGGCCATCCCAAGAGCAATGCTGCCTGGTGGTTGGTACCTGCAAGGCCTCCCCACTGCACGCTGTGTGGCGGCCCCAGATGCTTCTCCACCTGAGGGTTTCTGGCCTTCTCACCTGCATCCCCCACCGGGGGCATCCCCACTGGGGTGCTGCCCACGCACAATACACATCAAGGAGGGCCCCATCCCGGGCGCCCCTGTCCCCAGTGGCCCCGATAATCCCAGCCTGCTTGACTGCGGCCCATGCTGGGTGGGAAGAAGGACGCTGGCACCGCCTGTCTGGGTATAATTCCTTTATTCCTCTCATCAGGACCCCCAATTCAGACCCCTGTCCCCGATAGAAGGCTCCCACCAGGAAGACTGGCCTTTTGACGTCCCACCCCCTTCCAGTGCCTGCCAGCCCTCCACAAAGACACCTGTGTCGCCTCATCACAGAAGTGGGCTGGAAACACCTTTAGCAAAGGCCCCCTGGGGCCCTGGGGACACAGGACACCAGGCCCAGCCCTGTCCTGCCTAGGAAGAGTGCAGCGTCCCTGCTCTGGGCTCACCAGCCCATCCCACAGCTCATGTGCCTTCAAGACTGGAACTAGAGCTACCCCAGAACATTGTCCTGAGCTGGGGTCCTCAGAGGATGGCAGGCTGGCTCATGCTGAGAAGACCCACTTTCCCACTCACTGTCCACAGAGGCATGGTGCTAGTTGCCTGTCTGGACTCCAGCTTCCGAGGTCTCAGGTGACAAACGTGTGGCTGGACCTGGAGGTTTCAGGCCCATGAGTGGTTCTCAGCTCTCCTTTGGCTGAGACCCCAGCAGAGAGCCCACTGCACCCAGAGTAGGGGTGCGGCCCAGGGGGCTCATGTGGCGACTCCGGGAGAACAGCCACCTTCCTGACAGAGCCCACTCCAGAGTCTCCTCTCCAGGGCTGTCCTGCTTCCTGGAGCCCTCACCTCCGTGTGTCCAGTGGGGCCTTTGCCCAGGCAGGTCCCCAGTACCTAGGCCCATCACTTCAGGGCTGCAGACTGAGCTGAGGGCCGAGAGGGACAAGGCCAGAAGCCTCTGCTGCAGCCCCACATCACCCACGCCCCCAGCTGGGGGTGTGCAGGCGGCATGGTCCTTCCGGGTGAGCCCCCAGGGTGACGGGGAGCACAGCAGCAGTGATGGGGCCTTGCTATGAGGGCCTGCAGCACTCAGACCCACAGGGCCCAGCTTGCTAGCTGTCTCACACACACAAACGCACTGAGAGAGACACTCACAAAGATGCACTGAGGCCCGCGCACACAAACACACAGACACGCTCATACACACACACGTGCACACACACCCTCTCTCTAGCTCTCAGCAAACAAGCAGCCTGCAAGGAGCAGCTGCACGAATGTCTGATTCCTGAAAGTTGAGAAACACAAAAGGATGGAGGCTGGAACCTGCTGGGCTGAGGCCAGAGGAGCATGCTCAGAATGTAAACTGAGTGCCAGCGACCAGCTGGCTGGTCCCCGAGGTCTGGTGGGCGCTGGATTTGCCACTGCACACGGAGCGAGGCGGGAACCCCAGGAGCAGTGGCCAGGGCCTCACGTCTGGGCAAGCGAGAGCTCCTCCAGGCCCCGCTTCCCAAGCCGGTACCTGGCCAGGTCCTTCCTGGTCACCAGCCCGACCACCTGTGGGAACAAAACCAGGTCACAGGGGTCTGGCGGCCCCACCTGCCTCTGTGGAAGCCCCTGCCCTGTGTGTGTTTGGAGGCAGCCCCGTTTGGAGGAGCCCGCAAGGCGGGCACGTGGCCAGTCTGGGTCCCAGGCCTCAGAGTCCCTGCAGGAGCTGGGAGCAAGGCCACACCAGTGACCAGGGCACACAGGTCTGGACGCAGAGGGTGCATTGGCCCCACACCCCTGCTCCACGGCTTGCACGAGCAGGAAACGGGTGTGCGTGTGTGCGCACGCGTGTGCACACTCACCTGTGTGCACACTCACCTGATTGTGGTTGTCCACCACGACCAGGTGCCTGAGGCCCAGGGCCCGGAAGAGCTTGAACACCCTCGGGAGAGACGCATCCTGCAATGTGGGCACATCGTCAACTCATACGCCAGCCCCGCCCAAGAGCAGAGCAGAGGCGGGACCTGCCCAACGAGGGGTCAGAGTCTCCCTCGAACACCCCACCACCACCAGGATGTCAGGATGTGTCCTGAACCGCCCGTTCCCCTCCACGCTGTCTGGCCCTGCCTCAGTTTGGCCCCTGGAGTCCCGCTCTGCAGCCGCCCCCACTCCCTACACTTCGTCCTTGGCGTAACCACAGAGCTCCTCCCGGCTCGTCCTCTGACCCACGGCAGCCCCTCCAATACACTTTCTAGTGCATTCACGTGGCGGCCACTGAAGGCTGCCCCATGCTATCAGAAGCATTCTACAAGGATTCCTGCCGCCTGGTGACCCTGCAAGTGGGGCCCGCCCCGCAGCCCCCCGGCACCTGGGGCACGGTGTAGGGGGAGGGGTTCATGAACTCTGACAGGTCCATGGTGCACTCGCGCTCGTCCTGGGACACATGGATGGACTGGATTGGGGGGAAGCGGGGGTAGGCGTCGCGGAAATCCTTCAGCCTCAGCCGCCGCCGCACCAGGCCCATGTTGGACCGCTCCACGAACACCTGCGGGCAGCACTGCGTCAGAACCCAGCGCCAGGCCGAGCGGCTCTCGCTGCCCTGGAAGCGCCCAGTAGCCCGATGGGCCTACCTTGTGCTTCAGCAGGACGATCAGCTGGGAGCGCAGAATTAAGCCCTGGAGCCGGGCCGGCTGTGGGAAAACAGATGGCCTTGAAAACGGGCGGGTGGAGCCCCAGAGCGGTGGCCCTTCCTGCCTGACCAGCTCTGCCAGGTTCCACATGGATACATGGTCACTGCCTGGTCTTGTGGCAGGCATTTCACCTGCACAGGCTCATTAACTCCCCACACGCCCCGGGAGCAGGAGCAGGCCCTGCACCACAGAGCAATGAAGTGCAGCACCGGGAGGCTGTAGTGTTTGCCAGGGGCGAGACGTAGACTCAGCCGTGACAAAATTCACTCCCAACCTTTGGACGCAGGATGACTGGTGGGCTGCACATCCTGTCAAGATCCCTCCTGACAAAGTCACAGCCTCGACTCCCTGGCTGATGGGCAGCTTGGGGCATGACCACAAAACACGTGGGCGTGACTAACCTAACCAGCAAGGACTGCGCTCACACAGACCGCGTCTTCCCACGAGGGGCTCAGATCCTTCTGTAGCTAGAATTCTACTACAAACTCAAATGCTGAGTTTCTAGGCTCCTATGACCACACTTGGCGGACATGCACGCTCGGGAGGCCCACACGGAACGCCCAGCACACCCGCCCCACCCGGCGGTACCTGGGTGTCGTCGGCGCACTCCACCACAGGGAAGCCATTGTGATTGGACGTCGTGCTGCTGAGCACATCCACAATGACGCCCACCTTCTCCCTCCTCCGCAGGCAGGTGACCGGCGTGCTCATCACCTCCCTGTGGAGGAGCAAGCCTCGTCCACTGTCGGCCACACTGCGACCATGTGCCCCTGGGGGCTTCCTGAGCCCTCTCTCTTCATAACAGTCAAAGCTCAGCAGGCACAAGTCTGCTGGACTCAGGAAACCCGGGGACAAGGAGGCTGGGAGCCTGGAGACCCCCCGGGAGCTACCCTGGAGAACCAGCCCTGGGCCAGCTGCCTACACAGCCTGGACGCCTGAACAGCACTCCCCCAGACCTCTGCACAGAGGCACGCGGCCTCCTTCCTGCTCCAGGCCACTAGCACCAAATCTCCCAGAAGCATCTACCGCACCACTCGCCCCCACACCCCCATCCTGAGCATGGGGAGGAAGCCCCAGGCCACAGGCCTTCAGCTTGAACCAAGATGGGATAAGCCGCAGCCCCGGCCCGTGGTACCTGGCGGTGAGCGAGTGCGAGGTGACGGGGGCTTCCCAGTGCAGGAAGGGCACACTCTGCAGCTGGATGTGCATGTCGTACAGGCCCTGAGGATGGGGGAGGCCGCTGACGCACTGTGCCTGCCACCGAGAGAGGGGTCCTGCCCTGCACCCGCCCCCCCGAAGCAAGGGGCCCTTTGGAGGATGGTTTCACAGGGGCCCCATTCCCTCCAGTGAAGACCCCCAAGGCCCACAGTCTCAGGCACCAAGGCAGGAGCATGGGGAGGGGCCCAGAGCGAGGGCGAGGCAGCAGGCAGGCCTCTCCACCAGCCGCACCTCGATGAAGACGTCCCCCACAATCTTGGCGGTCATCAGGACCAGCATGATGGGGAAGCCGTAAGTCACGTTGCTGGTGGCCTCCATCATGATGACCGTCAGGCTCAGCGTCATCCTCACGATCCCACCTGCCCGAGGGGAGGGAAGGGCTGGGCTGGGGTGAAGTGGGGAGTCACAAGCCTCTGCAGGCCGCCTGTGTTCTCTGTGCAAGCCAGTGATCAAATCCATTCACCCCAATGGTCTCTCTCTCCAGCTGCACTGGGTGGGGACAGCAACCCTGTGCAATCGCACACCAGGGTGGAGTGGCCCATTGGCCAATGACCACAGAAATGGAGTGAACACCCGGCCTTCATGTCCCAACAGGCAGATGGTCCCCCCACCTTGGGACGCCCACGCAGCAGCCAAGACTCACCCAGCTGGGCAGCCGCTCCCATCAGGGCATACTTGCCAGGGTCCGCCCAGATCTGTGGGATGACACAGAGACCTGAGATATCAGAGAAGGTGACAGCCCCTACCCAAACCCAAGATGCAGTGACACCACCGGAGGCCACCTCCAGTGGAATTGGGCCCAGCAATTCCACAACCAGGAGGGGATCCTCCAGCTCACACACAGGGCCCAGCACCAGCCGCAGAGAGGCGTGCCCCTCTCAGGGATGCACTCTGCCATCTGCACACGCTGGAGACCTCGCAACAGGGGATAGGAGGACGCGCTCTACAGAGGAGGGGAAAGAGCTACGGGTATGTGAGGGGAGGCAGACTGGCACATGCATGTGTCAGTGACCGCGGTCCGCACAGAAATGCCAGCACCACACAGGAGTGTAGGAAGGAATGAAAATCCCACACGTGCTCCCACTTGGATGAACCCTGGAAACATGACGCTTAGTGAGAGGAGCTGCCACAAAAGGCCAGGACGTGTGCCTCCACTGACACGAAACACCCAGAACAGGCAACTCCAGACAGAAAGCAAACTAGTGGCGCCAGGGGCTGGGGGACACGGAAGTGAGTGCGAAGGAGTGCAGATTTCCCTCTGGGGTGATGAAAGAATCCTGAAACTAGACAGCAGTGAAGGTTCCACAACTGCGTGGACACACTCGAGAAGCACTGAGGCCTATGCTTTTAAAACGGTGGATTTATGGTACATGACTCAGATCTCAACAGAGAACACAAATCTGGCTCTGGCAGGAACGCTGAGGACACACACTCTGGAGCCTGGGTGGTGGGGGGGCAGGCAGAGGGACAGCAGGGGAGACTCGCTGTGCCTCTTTTACAGTTTTTAAAAAATCTTATCTGAATGAAATGAAAAAAGTAAAATACATGACAGACACGCCAAGTGACCATGGAGGCGGGTGAGGCGGAGACCGGGGAGGCAGCATGGCGGGGCCAAGGCCTGACGTACCGCCTCCTCCGTCACCGGCTCCTGCAGCCCAGCCCGAGTGGCCCCAGCCCCCAATCTGTGTGTAGAGAAGCCCCACTCACCGCAGCCCCTGTGAGGTAGGACAGGGATATGCCAAAGAGCCGGCCCCAGGCAGCCCCGATGAGCAGGGACGGGATGAAGACACCGGCGGACACTGTGAGCCCGTAGGTCCAGCAAGCCAGGAAGAAGTAGACCAGGGTGAAGAGGCCAAGGGTTGCAGGGTTGTAGGAGCCTAGGGGAGAGGGGGCTGGCCAGGGCCTGCCTCACAGACTTGCACCTGAGCAGGACCGCCCCACCCAACTGCCCAGTCATGGCCTCCTAGTCACAGACACCCTGGTGGACCCCCAGAAATCGCCACATTCTCTGAGGTCAGAGCGTGGGGCCTTGGGAGCAGGAGGACGGCCGCCTGGCAGGCGGGGTCCAGTGCTACCAGCAGGATGGTGACCTGGGGCCAAGAGAAGGTGCCAGCTGAGGTCTGTGCAAACCGCTGGCACCGCAGTACAGACCACCAGCGGTAAGGGGAGGGAGACCACCAGTCCACACAGATGACTTCCAGACTCAGGAAGATGTCAATCAAACCCTGGAACTGACATGTTTGGGACCTGGTGCTCGCCCGGTGGCCCTGTTCAGCTCCTTTTAGAAAGGGCTCAACCTTGCCTGACATCTAAAAGCCTTTCTGTGAAACTGCGTGGACTCCCGTCACACAAGCACAGAGGCCTAAGAATCAGGAGGCTCCTGGTGGCCTTGCGACAGGAAACAATTAGAGACCACCTAAAGGGTCCCAGAGCAGCTACAGGGTGGAAGACCAGATGCAATCTGCTCCATTTCCAGGTGCATGCAGCAGGCGCTATGGTGGGCCTGTGTGCTGCGGGCACCCTCTGGGTGCGGGAGAGGCGAGGCCTCTGCCTGGGGAGTGGCAGGACCAGTGAAATATGAGATGCATGCTGAAAAGCAGTGGTCTGCATTCAGAGCCTGTTTTGTTTTGTTTTTTTTTTTGCGAGGAAAATCAGCCCTGAGTTAACATCCACGCCAATCCTCCTTTTTTTTGCTGAGGAAGACTGGCCCTGGGCTAACATCTGTGCCCATCTTCTTCGACTTTATATGGGACGCCGCCACAGCACGGCTTGACAAGCAGGTGCATCGGTGCATGCCCAGGATCTGAACCTGGGCCGCCAGCAGTGGAGCGCGCGCACTTAACTGCTACACCACTGGGCCGGCCCCCCCAGAACCTGTTTTTAATTCAAAACCTGTGTGGCTGGCAAGGCCACGGACTGGTGAGAGTCACCACGCCGGCTGTTCTGACGGAGAGTGATGCATGCAAGTAGCACCCAGAAAAAAAACTCATCCTGGAAGACGAGATCAGCTTAATGAGAGATGGAGACAGCCCCCATGGCCCCTCCAGGAAGAGAAGGAGACAGCACGGGGAGCCTGGCCAGGCCCCCCTGGTGCTCACCCACCAGCTGATTCCTGGCAGCCAGCCCCTGCAGCCCACCCTTGCAGCAAGGGCAGTGACCTCTGCCCACAGGGCACGCTCGGCCAAAAGGCGTCACCCAGGCCTGGGCCTAGTGTCCAGGCGTCAGTCACAGACCAGGCCAGAAGGGACTGAGCCCGGGTGGGGACATGCGGGCGACAGCACTGCGCATGAGCACGCACCTGGGGGGTCGTGGAAAAGGCTGACCACACTCTTCTCCGGGGTGTTGAAGAAGGCCGCGGCCATGGAGTTGTACTCCCCATCTGCACAGAAGAGCTGCGGGGTTGGGAGAGAAGACGGTCTGTGGGACGGGGCAGGCCCGGCCTGCACAGAACCAGGTGACAAACACACGACACGATGGGGCCAGGCTCCAGGGCTGCGGCCTCAGACAAGAGGCACGATGCAAAGAGCCACACCCAGCAACAGCGAGGGCTTCAGAGGCACATCCAGCCCTGCAGGGGCTGGTCAATGGGACCCCTGGGCTGCACGAGTCTGTCCCTGGGGTACAAGGAGACCCCAGAGCTCACACCACGAGCATGTTCCCAGAACCCAGTGGTCAAGCATCAGCGTCCTGGGTGACAACAGGCCCAGCCCTTCCCAGGCTAAGCAGAGCTGTGGGCCCTGAGGCCACAGCCCATAAAGGGGCTGGCTCCAAGGAGAGCTGGCCTCATCAACCCCACAGCCTCAACAGAGGCATCCCGTGGGGGCCCCAGACCCACATCTTTGACTGCTTGTTTATATCCGTGCCCCGGATATAAACTTCCCGTCCCCCCTCCCCCAGACCCTGGCAACCACCAATCTGCTGTCTCTACGGATTTGCCAGTTCTGGACATTTCACATAAACAGAATCATACGCTATATGCTCCTTCCTGTCTGGTTTCCCTCACTGAGCATCATGTTTTCAACGTTTATCCGTGTCGTAGTGTATGCCAGTGCTTCCCTCCTCTTTATGGCTGAATAAACCCCTTACACGGGGGGAGCACATGTTTATCCGTCCGTTAGCTGAAGGATGTTTGGGTTGACTCCACTGAGGGATACTGTGAGCCGTGCTGCAGTGAACACGTGTGTACAGGTTTCCCTGTGCATGCAGCTTTGCATCTCTCAGATCCACACCCATGAGCCGCCACTTCTGAAGTCCTCCCGCAGACCCTGCCAGGCTGCCACTCTGGGAGGACGACAGGGTGTGACTCCATCCAACATAACAGCCCGCTCTCCTGGTGCCCGGCAGGCCACCTAACCCTGTCTGGAGACGCACCAGGGAGGTCTGGCCTTGCCTGACCCACCTGGTGGGCCTGCCTATAGGGCCCAGGGGTCCTACCTGGAGCGGGTAGGACACAGCACTTCCCTGCAGGGGCTGGCAATCCCGCGACGAGTAAATCAGCACGAAGGCGACTGTGGCCGTGACAGCGGCCACCAGCACTGCCTCGATCACCTGGAGGCATGGCCGGTGGATGTACCTAGAGCAAAGAGACGCTGGACCGAGCCACCCCACCAGAGCCAATGGCTCATTAGGAGGGTGACACAGCATGGCTACTCCCAAACGGCATCCGCCCGTCCCCAGGCACTCTCCAACAGCATTTCTGGTGGTGCAGGAGGTCAAGGAGGACGAGAAGGAAGAAGAGCTTCTGCAAACCCAGGAGCCACCCCAAAGGTTTCAGAAAACCCGAGGACTCCAATTAACTGTGTTTCTCACGGCAAAAGGACCCGTGCTGACCCCGAGCAGACCAGGCCAAGGCTGCGAGAGGTCAGAAGGCCCTGAACTCCAGGGGGGCTGGACGCACAGGTGCTTCCCCTGCCCAGGGGTTCACCCTCCAGGCCCCTCCTAGCCCAGCCCCGCACATTCCCAGCCTCGTGTACAAACCATCGTGAGGAAGTCAGGAGCACGCAGCCCCATGGGCGCAGAGCCCACTACTTGTCTATTTTCAAAGTCCTGGGGGCCACACCTGTCAACTCGATCCACAAAACAGAGGCTTCTCACCTGATTCGAAACATGGTCAGCCAATAATTCAAGGCATTGAACACGGCTCCAAGAACACCACCTACAACGGGGAAGGGGCTGTGTGTAAGCGACACAAGGAAGAAAGGTGGAGGCTGCCCAGGCAGCAGAGGGGACGGGAGCAGATGGGCCGTGAAAACATCTGTTCTCTGTTACCACACTCTGACAGACAGATGAGCTTATTTCTCTAAGGTCAGAAAAGGTTTTTCAGAGTAACAAATGCCGCCCAGGGCCAGTAGGGGTTTCGCCGATGGAAGTAAAGCTCGAGGCCTCCCCAGGTTTGGGATCCCTTGTCGGTGGGTGCAGCCCCACCCCAGGCAGCCCTGGAACAGCAAGCAGGGTGTGGGGGCCATGTCCCTCTCTGGCCATTTCAAGGCTGGCCAAGCCTGGAGTCCTGCAGGCCCTGTCCCCACCACATGCTTTAGGTCCTGCTGGAAGGTGCCTGCCGCCGTCTCGAGAGCAATGGCCCAGCGTGGGGCCGGGGCAGGCTGGTGTCCTGTGCGGGAATGGCCCTTACCCACCACGCCCATGGCGATGAAGATGGGGATCTCATGGATCGTGTACACCATGGTCTGTGCAGAGAGGGAGAGAGCAAACATTCTGTGAGGGACAATGTCATCCGACGTGGGATCAGACACTGTACAGCATCTGCTCCACACGCACGGGAACCTCCCGGCCCTGTCACATGGGGCTGTGGAGGACCCGCAGGGAATGCTGGGAGTTTGGAGCAGCCTGTGCTCCTGCTCACACAGGCTGGTCTGGGAGGCAATCAGAGACCCTGCAAGGTTTTTATCTTTCTGAGGCTTCACCTGCTCCTCAGTCAGGTCTCCATCACCTGAGAAGGGGGCACGGCCTGAGCTTTGGCCAAAGGGGGAGGCAAGGGGGGCAGGAACGAAGGACAGCCCCAGGAACACATCTCATGACCAGATTACCCAGGAGGCCCCGACGTCTCCGTGTGTGCGAGAACCGTCCCAGGAGTGGCTACGGTGGTGCATGGTCCAGGCCTCCCTAGAAACACTGGCCTGCACCTACTCGTACTCTGTGAGCCACGGCACGAGCTCCCTGGCTTGCCACACTCAGCGCTGTTGTCCGACAGTCCAAGGATGGCTGAGATGCCCCTGGAGGGGCCCGCTGGGGGATGGGCGTCCTAGCCTGCACGGCCAGGTTGGAAGTGCGCTTTCCTAGAGCGCCCCTGGCGCTTACAGATAAGAGCTCAACCTCGTAGGTAAGATGTAGATTCTTCCAAAAGCTCAAATTCTCAGGCTGATCTTTAAGTACACAGCCTTAGCCCCACACCAAGAACGAACCAGAAAGAGTGAGGGAGGACAACATGGTGGGTTACCTCCGTGTCAAATCTTCCAAAGTTGATGAGGCCCGGGCTGGACAGATCCCATATGTTTCCATGATAGATGCTTAGGACAAAGTTCAAGGTGAAGGTGGAAATCATGGAAGCAAAGAACTGCAGGCAGAGAGGGAGACAGGCGCCATCAGGAGCATGGCAACCAGTCCGAGGCACCAAGCCCACCCAGCTAGATGCCCAGAACTGGGGAAGATGGGAGCTGGGGAGGGGGCTGCAGGAGGAAGGGCTGCCTCCCCTCCTGTCATTCAGGAGGCACCTGGAGACCCTCAAAAGCTGAAGGGAAAGGGGCCGGGGCCTCGCTGGCCGGTCCCCCTCACAGCCAGGCCAGCCGGGTCGCAGCCTTTTCTGGACGAGCGTCAGGGCCAAGCCAGTGACAGAGCCAAGGGAAGGAGGTGTGTGGGGTCTGGGGGCTCCCAGAGGGGGGAGGGGGGCAGGAGAACGAGGGTGGACAATGTCTACGATGACAGGGGAGGGACAGGTGGCAATATGACAGCCAACACTTCAGGTCAAGTGAGAGGCAGAACCATAACGGACCCGGGGGCCTGGTTCCAACCACGGCTCAACAGATCCTCATGTGAAGACACCAAAGTGGGGGCCGAGAGCACAGCACCTGCCCCGACACGGAGGCCAGGCGCCAGAGCGGCCTGCTCAGGGAGAGGCAGCTGTCCACGGGCACTTACGATTCTCCATGTCAGGAACTGGTTCCAGAAGGAGGCACCTTCCTCTAAGCTGAACAGGACCCCACCTGGAACGGCCAGTGGCCCAGCCCTGAAGTGCCCACCCAGGCCATGGGAACCCTGAGCCCACTGCCGCCTCACGCCCCCCGACGCCAGGGCACTGGGACCACATCAGAGGCCACCCTCAGGGCCTCTCGGGGTGCACCCCATGCCCTTGCCCACACTCAAAGTCCACAAACACCAAGGCCATCGCTTCACACCGCAGGAGAACACGGACAGCGACGTCAGACCAGGCAGGGCCACCCCTCCTCACCCACGGGGGCTCCAAACGCAGCGGACACTCCAGCCGCAGCTCCTGCTGAGACAAAGTCCCGCTTCTCCGTGTCTCTGCGGAAGTACTCGAAGATCTGAACCGGGAACACACGGGGCACAGAGGCTCAGCCAGCTTCTCCAAGGGCACTTCTCTCAGGAAGGGAGAAGGTCGGCTAGAGGCCACAGAGACGGGGCCGAGGGAGGGGAGGAACGGGGAAGGGGCATCGCCCCGTCAACCACTGGATTCACAGAGACTGCAGAAGCGAAGGTGGCAGCAACACCACAACAGGTGCCCCACACACCAACCACCAAGGGAAAACCATGAAAACCTCCCATTCACAGCAATAATTACACTTCACGGTCTGCACAAGAGACGTATCAATAAACTCAAAACTCCACTGAGACCTAACGAAACTGAATGAATGAGAAACTTAAATGTGTTCTTGATTTAAAAAGAAAGACTCTGTACTGTAAAAGTGTTAACTGTCTCTAAACCTAGAAATTCAGTGCAATACCCATTAAAATGCTGGGGGCTCTTTAGGGAAACATGACAACACTGTTCTGAGGCGTATTGTGAAAATTCAGCATCTTTAATCTGTACATGTCGTTCCTGACGTGTTTCTTGGTTAGAGTCCTTTAAGAAGCTGTTAACAGCTACAGACCTCCCCTGCAGGAAATGCACAACCCCACGAAACACCCAGAATCAGGCTGAGCGGACTCCTTGGTCAGGACCCAGGAAAGCCCCCAGGATAGGACGCCGGGGAGACCCTCAGATGCGATGTCAAGTATAGGTCCTGGGAGAGCACGCCTGCACAGAGCAGGAGGGGCGCCGGCCCTCCCAGGGGTGTTCACGCTCACCCTCATGGTCATCATCCACATCAGGAGGGAGGACTCACCTTGAAATCTCGCTTCAGCGACGTTGACCTCCCCTGGGACACCCCAGCAGCAATCACGGAGCCTGAGTGAATCATCGGCCCCTCCTGGAAGGACAGGACGGCCACACGCAGATGAGCATGACCTCACAGAGAACAAATTGACCATGGGTCCCGTGTGGCACACAGAGGGACTCAGGCTAGGGCAGCGCCACACACTCCATTACCTTTCCCACGGCCAGTCCTCCCACCACGGACAGGATCACACCACACACCTTGATCACCAGAGTCTGGAACACAAAGGAAGACATGTCAAGCGTCTGGGGAAGGCCAGACACAGTCCAAGATGCTGAGCAACAAAACGGCACATGTGAAGCACAGCCCAGACAGGAGAGCACCAGACAGGTGCACAGAGGGCAGCGCACCTCAGTGTGTCGGTGGTGGTGGGCTTCCGGCCCATTCTTTCCTGCCTTCCTGTATCTTCAGACTTTCTCTACTGAGTAGCTGTGTGCAGTACGTGAACAAAGCGGTGATGGCGCCCCTCTTCACACTCCAGGGGCACCTCCTCACCCAGCACTCTCCTTAGTCCCTGCCCACCGCCTGGCTACCTACTCTGGCTCCTACAGGTCAGACGCCACTCCCAGCAGCCCCAACGTCCACTCCGCTCTTCTGCTGCAGGGAACTGAGCACAGCCCTCACCCCGAGGCCGCTCTGCTCCCCTAGATTGTGTCCACCGGCCCTACTGAATCCCACCCCTGGGGGCACCCCCTCCCCAGGCAGGGGCAGGAGAGAAGCCACCCGCAAATCCTAGGCCGAGGCACGCTGACCGCACACCTGGAGACAGCCGCAGGAGGAACCGTGACTTCCCAACCCTCTGGGAATCAGGGCCTCCGAGAATACTAAGGATAATGGGTATTCAGGAAGAGTTTGAAAAAAGGAAGAACGCCCTGAAGTCTATCACTCCCCACGGCTCTCCTCGTGAGCCGCCACCCACCAGCCAGAACTCACACACGTTCTACACGGCTGTGATCACAACACACGCACAGCAAAGCACTTCTGCCTCATTCAACATGCACAAGAGAAAGTTTGTACCACTTTCCAAAGAAAATTTACATAAAAACCATCAGCACATCCCTGCACACGCTCATCAGCAGCACGCGAAATGGGTCCGGGAGAATGTGGAGGTGCAGGTGGGCAAACGAAACGCCCCGACCTCAGCAAAGAAACCCCGAGCTGAGCACCAAGCTTCCAGCCAGAGGTCACCCCCTGCGCCTTACCTTGAGCCGCACTACATGGGGGATCTTCACCCCGTTGAGGAAACACTTGATCTGGGGGATCCCGCTGCCAGCAGCAACCGGCTGGAAGGAGAGAGAGGTGAACACTGAGCTGGGCTGTGCTGGGTGAGCTGCCACAGCCACACAGGGCCCGAGATGGGGGGACGGGCCACCTAGAGAAGGGACTTTTCACTCCCCCCCCCAGATGCAGAGCGACCCCTGGGGGAGCGCACACTGTGGGACACGGGAGGAAGTCAGGGTGGAGATGAAAGGAGGCCCAGTGTCCCCCAAAGACGCAGGGAGGGGACACTCCTCCTGGATGGACGGGAGGCACATGTCACGCACCACCTGAGAGGGGCCAGAGCTCCTCACTCCTCTGAGGGGGCACCACACTGGACCCCAAAGAGAAGCTTCTGGATGCTGCCCCTTCTTCCTTCAACACCCCACGACAAGGCAGAAGCAAAGAAAGATGCAGGCCATAGGAAGGGCTTACGAGAGAAGTCCCGGAACGGAGGAGCACCCTAGGAGGGTCTGAGGCCAGGGGCACCCCCTAGACGTGTCCTCACGGCATGGGGCAGGAACCTGTAGCAGGGTGGACAGGGGCAGCACCCCAAGGTCGGGGGTGACGAGGGCCAGGTGTGTTTGTTGTTTTGACTCAACAGTTTAGCGTTGGCACCAGAGGGGTCCACCGCACGCAGTCTGACAGTGGGAAGCTCACTGGCAGAAGCTGCGGGTGGGTGAGCTGGAGGAGTTCCTACCCACCAGGCGACTCCCACCACAGCCTCCTCGTGGCCATTCGTACCTCTATGAAGGCGACGATCACAGAGCCTATGAACACGAATGCGGCGTTCAGTGCGGCCCACAGCACAAGGGACAAGGACAGCCCGCCCTTCTCCGTGAACCTGTCGATATCTGGGGCTCATCAAGGATGACTGCGGCTTTACCACCGGGCACCACGCCCCCGTGGCCCCGCCTTCTGGGCCTGGAGCACCCGCCCGGGTGTGAAGCTGCCCCAGAGCCCCTGGGGGTCATGCGTTCACCGCACAGCTCAGAGACATTCCACAGTCCAACCAGGACAGAGCTGTCCCCTCAGGCACGCCTCCCGCAACTGGACGGCAAACACAACAGGCCGGGGGCTGCTCCCGCTAGGTCACTCTGTGCCACACGGTCACAGACAAAGGATATTGTCCTTGACGACCCTGTACTTCAGGCCAGCCAAGTTCTCCACCACAATGTCAATGAAGCAGGCCACAAGGCCTGTGAGAATCCCGATCATGGCGCAGATGACCCAGCGCTTGATCTCCACCGTCCGGAAGGCCTGCCGGGGGGAAGGCACCAGTCAGAAGTGGGTGTGGTGGCGAGATCTCCAGTCACAGGCTGCTCTCGTCACGGCGTGACTGGCCCCTGGAATTCTGCTGGCCGCCACCACACACTGCGTGCTGCACTCGGGACCCCCAAGTTCTACAAAGGTGGCCTCTTGTCAATGTCTCGGAGACAATGGAGTGTGCGTGTGACATCCCACACCTTCCCCAACCAATTCATAATCAGCTGCTGACATTCTGGACCCCACAGCTGACATCTCTAAGAACAGCCTTCTAAGTCATAACCAAGTGACACACATGGTTTCCTGTACTAGGCATCAGGTGTCTCTCGCTCCAAGACACACACCAAAATCTGAGGCAGGAGGATCGAGGACCAAGGAGGGGCGGGAGATGGAGGCGATGCATTGCTGCACTTGGGCCGGAGAGCACCACCAGGCCAGCCCTTCGGTCACCAGGGCAGTGCAGAGCGGGGCACGTGCTCCGAGGACACCGCACCACGGTCAAAGGCCATGGGGACACCTCTGAGGCAGCAGCCTGGGCTGCTGGGCCCCAGACTCACCATGTGGTTGATCCGCCTCTCCTCCTCCAGGAACAGCTGGTTCTCACTGTTGTCATAGTCCAAGCTCTGCAGACCAGGATGGAAGAGACAACACTGACCACTGACCTGACACTCCAGGTTCACATCAGGCAGCGGGTAGGGGTGGAGGGGAGAGAGGGGATAAAGTGCCAGGGGCCACATGGGGCAGGAGTACAAAGGGAGGAGGCCCACCTCGTACTTGAGGGACAGGAGCTTCTCATTGTGTGGGATCTCCTTGGGGAAAGGCTGAGGGGGGTCCATCTCCTGTGGAAGGAAGAGGCAGAACCCACACACTCGACAACTCAGCACATTTAAGAATGAAGCCCAAACAAGAAGAAGAGGGGGCACATACCCACTCGTCCCACGAGGTTGGTACTTTTCTGACCTCAAAGCCAGACAAGGACACCACGAGACAGGAAACTGACTACAGACATATACCCTTCATGAACACACACACAAAGTCCTCAATAAGGTGCCAGAAGACCAGGGCCTGAAACACCAAGCCAAGTCGGGTTTACCCCAGGAATGTAAGGTTGGTTTAACACCGGAAAATCAGTTAATGTACTATGATGGTGGTATGATGGAAAATGTATTATTGGTCTATGTCCCAGGTTCTGGCACACGGTTCCTAAAACCCTTAGCATCTCTGCAGTACAGAGTGTCTTCTGTGTACTAATGAGATGGATGGGGGCTAGGGGCCCCTAGGTAGCTTCAGGATGGAGGCTGGTTGTCAGGGGAACTGACCATGTGATTGGAGGGTTGGAACTTTCAGCCCCACCCCCCAACCTCTGACCTCTGGGGAGGGGAGAGGCTGGAGACTGAGCTAATCACCATAAAAACCCGGAATGAGAGGGTCTGGAGAGCTGCTGGGGTGGTGACCGTGGGAGGTGCTGGGGGACGGCGCTCCCGGGCAGCATGGAAGCTCCGCGCCCCTCCCCACTCCTTCCCTGCGTCTCCTCCACCTGCTGTTCCCCAGTCCTATCCTTTATGATAAACAGTAAACAGTTATGTAAAGTGTCTCCCTGAATTCTATGGGCCATTCTAGCAAGTTATGGATCCAGAGGAGGGGTCAATGGGAACCCCGATTTATAGCCAGTCGATCAGAAGCACAGGTGACAACCTGGAATTGTGACTATTGTCTGAAGTGGGGGTGGTCTTGTGGGACTGAGCTCTCAGCCTGTGGGGTCTGCGCTAACTCTGGGTAGATAGTGTCAGAATGAACTGACTTGTAGGATACTCAGGTGGTGTCTGAAGAATCAGAGAATTAGCTGGTAATGAAGAGAAAACCAACACATTTGGTGTCAGAAGTGTTGTAAATGGAAACAGTTCAATGCCATTTCAATAACATAAAGGACAAAATCCACACGATCATCTCAACAGACACAGAAAAAGCATCTGACAAAATCCAACACCACTTCACGATAAAACCAGGAACAGAGGGAACCTGCTCGACTTGATGAAGACATCTAGGAAAACCCACAGGTCACATCACACTTTCTCCTTTTATGGAGAAAGTCTCTGCCAATCATGTATCTGATGAGCGATGGTGAAAGACTGAAGCTTCCCCACTGCAAATCGGGAAGAAGACAAAGCCGCCCACTCTCACCACTGCTGTTCAGCATTGCACTGCAGGTTCTACAAGGGCAGTTAGGCAAGAAAATGAAACAAAGAGCACCCAGATGGAAAGGAAGAAGTGAAACTCTCTATGTGTAGATGACATGATCTAGTATACAGAAAATCGCCCCAAATACACAAAAAACTATTAGAACTGACAAACGCATTCAGTAAGACTGAAGGATACGAGATCAATGTACAAAAGTCACATGTATTTCTATGCGCTTGCAATGAACTATACAAAATGAAGTTAAGAAAACAACTCTATCCACAATAGCATCAAAGATAAAATACATAAAAAAAACTTTATTCCTAAAATACATTTAACAAAAGAAGTATAAGACTTGTACTCTGAAAACTACAAAACGTTGGAAAAAACTGAAGACCTAAATAAACGGAAAAATATCCTGTGTTCATAGACTGAAAGATGCAATATTAAGATTCAATGCAATCCCTCTCTAAATTCCAGCTGGTGTTGTTGAAGAAATTGACAACCTGATCCTAAAATCCACATGGAAATGCAAGGGACCCCAAACAGCCAAAACAACCTTGAAACAGAACGAAGTTGGAAGACTCAGACTTCCTAGTTTCTAGTCATCCAGACACTGAGGCACTGGCACGAGGACAGACAGGTGGACAGAAGACAACTGAGAGCCCAGAAATAAACCCTCACATCTACGGCCAAGTGGTTTTCCACAAGGCGCCCAGACAATGCATCAGGGAAAGAGCGGTCTTCTTGGGAAATGGTGCTGAGAGAACTGGATGTCCACAAGGCAGAAGGACAAGGCTGGATGCGCGCCGTAAACCATATACAGAACTTGTGAAAAGTGGATCAAAGATCTAACCACACGTAACTCTTATAAGCAAACACAGGAGTAAATCTTAGTGACGTTGGGTCAGGCAATGCTTTCTTAGATATGACACCAAAAGCACAAGCAACCAAAGAAAAAACAGATAAGCTGGACTTCATCAGCGTGAAAAGCTTCTGTGCTTCAGAGGACGCTGTCAGAAAGTGGCAAGAAACCCACAGAGCAGGAGAAAGTCTTTGCCATCATGTATCTGATAAGCGATTTGTGTCCAAAGTATATAAAGAACTCTTACAGTTTGATTACCAAACACATACAACTCGATTAAAAAATGAGCATAGGATCTGAATAGACATTTCGCCAAACACATATAGACAGCCATCGGCACAGGAAAGATGCTCGACATCACCAGGGAAATGCAAATCAGAACCACGAGAAACCGGAGGCAGAAGGCAAATGCAAGTCTGGCGGAGGGGGCTCAGAGAACGTTTCCGTGGCAGCTAGCTGTAGGACAGTCCGGCCCTGGCACAGGAGCAGGAGAGGAGGCACCACCGCTCTCCAAGGGTCCCCCCCAAGATGCCCACTCCCACCCGGCCCCCAGAGCCCTCCTCCAGCCCACCTTGGGCCCCTCTCCCACCCACAGCACCCACCTCCCTAGCCTGCTTCCTGCGCCTCCACACAGCACGCTCAACGTTCCTCACCTAACACACACTTCCCCCATTTCTACTCATCTGGCTCGGCCTCAGCGATACAGCCCCTCAGAATGGCCTTCCCTGGCTCAGGGGTCCACTGCCTGCTTGTCATTCTTCCCTGAGCCCTGCATGGCCCAGGTCTGTCCCCAAGCTCTGCGCAGCCCGCCCACCGTCTGGCATCCTCATGTTTGGCATTCACCGTCTGCCTTCTGCCAGGCCCCAGATCCACAAGAGCAGACTCATCCTTTCTGGGAATAAGCCTGCCATGTAGTGGGAGCTCCAGGAATGGGGCATGACTACCACTCACTGGGTCCAGAAGCTCATCGTCCAGCTCCACGTTGCTCATCTGTCCAATCCGGAAAAACACAGAACGGGGCGACTAGAAGCAGAAGAGAAATCACAGGGGCTTAGCCACAGGGCCGTGCGGCACTGTGCATCCCCACCCGGCCCTGCCCGGGGAGCACGGACCCACACCAGCCACAAGGGGGACGCCAGCAGGGCCAGTGCTGGACCCTCAGGCCAGCCCCCACCACCCACAGCCTGTCACCAATTAGTCCGGCCTCCAGATCGGAAGCCCAGGCCTTCACAACCCCAGAGGCCCCGTCCTCTCCTGTTCCACGGCGCTTCAGAGACTGGAGACAAGACACCCGCCAGCCAGAACGCAGGGCTGCAGGACCATGCTGGCGTCCTCCCGGGCCCCCCACCCTCAGCCTAGAAAATCTAGGTGGTCCGGGGCCCGTCCTCCAGGAGTCTTTCTGTTCCCTGGCCCTCCACAACCCCCATTTTTGTGCACACCCCATCATGAGACTGAGTGACTCTGCCAGGTGGGGACCTGTCCCAGGCCTCCAGGCTGGCCCTCCAGACACACAGTCAGAGGTGCCTCCTCCCCTGGGGCAGGGGCGCCCCCAAGACCCTCCCTCTCTAAAGTGGGGCCGTGCTCCTGGGCCCAGGGGGCAGGTCAACCACAGAGGATTGACAACCAAGCGCGTGACTTCTTTTATGCCTGCTACCCAGGCACAGTGGAGGCCAAGACCAGGAAAGAAAATACAAGCACCAGTTACACTTGCATTTCAGAGAAATGAGTCACGTGTTAGCCTAAGTAGGCCCCAAAGACCACGTGGCACACACTTGTACTAAAATATTATTCACTGTTTCTCTGAAAGGCAAATGTAGCTGGGCGCCCCATTTTATCTGGCAGCCCTACACGCAGTGGAGAATCACACGGCGGCAAACCACGCTACGACGACAGGAACAAACCACTGCTGACACCAGATGGGCCCGAGGAGTGCCAGCCAGAGAGCTACGGCGATCCCACCACAGCAAGTGGAAGGTCAGGTGAACCTCACCTGTGTTGCACACGTGGTTACTTGGGGGGGGGGGGCAGTAAAAGCGAGGGGCACTAGGAGGCTTTGCGGATGCTGGCTGACTCTGGTGGGGGGGTACCTGAGTCTTCTGGGGCTGCCGTAACCAATTCCCACAGCCTAAGTGGCTTAAAACAGCAGAAATTTATTCTCTCCCAGCTCTGGAGGCCAGAAGTCCAGTTTCAAGGTGTCAGCAGGCAGTGCTCCCTCTCAAGGGTGCAGGGAGGCTCCTTCCTGCCCCTCCCACCTTCTGAGGGCATTGGCAATCCTCAGGAGTCCTTGGCTTGTGGCCGCGTCACTCCCATCTCTGCTTCAGTCATCATGCGGCCTCCTCCCTGTGTGTGCTGGTGTCCAAATTTCCCTCCCCTGATGAGGACAGCAGTCACTGGACTCAGGGCCCACTCTACGTCTGTCCGACCTCATCTTAACTCGATCACATCTGCAAAGATCCTATTTCCATACAAGGACCTATACACAGGTTCTCAGGGCTAGGAGTGGACAGATCTTCTGGGGGCCACCATCACCCCACAACAGGTGGTAACTCTGAGGTACACGTTCATGTGACAATCGCATGCTCCGCTCGCATGACTGTGCACTTCTCTCTACATACACACGGTACACCTCAGTACAACAGGTGAATAATGAGAGAAACACAGTTGTTTCCTCTTTTATTCTCCCCCCCTCCCCAAAGCCCCAGTAGATAGTTGTGTGTCATAGTTGCACATCCTTCTAGTTGCTGTATGTGGGACACGGCCTCAGCATGGCTGGAGAAGCGGTGCCTTGGTGCGCGCCCAGGATCCAAACCCAGGCCGCCAGTAGCAGAGCGCACGCACTTAACCGCTAAGCCACGGGGCCGGCCCTGTTTCCTCTTTTAAAAACAATTGGCAATGCCCCCAAACTGCTGAATCCGATGAGAAAAGCAGGGCAGGGGGCCTGCACTAGCCCAGGAAGGGATCCCAGCTCTTGAGTGAACGCTGACCAGGAGGTGGCCCAGGGCTGGCTGCAACCTCTGCTCCCCAGACAGGACAGTGTGATCAGGAAGGGGGCACCAGCCACAAGCCTCACCACAGCCACACCAAATGCACTCCCTCGGGGACATCTCCACACACATGGACCAGCCAGGCAAATAGGGCACAAAGACGGACAAACCCAGCAGAGCAACAGCAAGGCAGAACCGAATGTACAAACGTGCAAAGAAAATGGGAAAATCGATCTGTCCTCCGACCTGACAGACGGAGCCCCAGAAAAAGGCAGGGGCATCTTATCTTACCCATCACATCATGAGAGAAGCTCAACTCCATCAGGCAGTCTCCCACCGTGCCAAGGCAGCCCAGAGTCAAACCCCACAAAGCATATCCTTTGACACCTAACAGAGTCCGAGGGCTAGGCTGTGACCACGCACATTGCCTCAGGAGAGGCAGGGCAGGAACGGTCTGGATGGGCAAGCACTCACTCGCTCCAGTGACAACAGCATGCGGCCAGGAGGATGCCAGGTGGGTCTGCACCAAGAGAGCAACGTTTTGGATGGGGAATGCTCATCAGCACCAGGAGATGAAGGCTGGTGGTGGGCGGGGCTAAGCCCTGACCACGCCCCCCACGGCTGCCTGGGCTGGGCCCTCACCCACCCTCCTCCAGCATCTTTATGTTTCTACTGTCTCTTCTCAACTTGATGAGCATCTTTTAGGAAATATCTTTTGTGATGAAAAAACCATTTACCTGCAGCCATATATTTGGTGTTGTGTCTGTTTCTTTCTCTTTTCAAGAATTTATTTATTTTTTTGCTGAGGAAGATTAGCCCTCAGCTAACATCTGTTGCCAATCCTCTTTTTGCTGAGGAAGATTGGCCCTGGACTAACATCCATGCCCATCTTCCTCTACTTTATGTGGGACGCCTGCCACAGCATGGCTTGAAAAGCAGTGCATGGGTCCACGCCTGGGATCAGAACCTGAGAACCCCAGGCTGCTGAAGCGGAGCACGCGAACTTAACCACTATGTCACCGGGCCAGCTCCTCTTTCTCTTTTCTTAAACAAAAGTTAAATTAAATACTAGTTGTTCCTCAAACTACTGATATGCACAACAGCCTGGACAAAATCTCCAGGGCGGGTGCTGAGTGAAAGCAGTCAATCCCAAAGATTACACATTGTGCGGTTCCACCGACCTGCCATTCTCGACGTCAGACCTGGAGAGACGAGCAAAGATCAGGTGAGGGGTGTCACTATAAGAGGTAGGACAAGGGAAATCTTGGAAGTGATGGACATGCTCTGTATCTTGACTGCAGCAGTGCTCACACAGATCTATAGGCGTGACATGACAGCAAAGAACTAGACACACAGACACACGTGCACACGTGCACATCTTACGCCAACGTCAGTGCCCAGTTTCAGCACCGCGCTATAGTTACGTAGGATGGAACCACTGGAGGAAACTGGAGGAAGGTACACAGGCACTCTCTGGACTGTCTTTCAACTTCCTGTACCTCCATAATTATTTTAAAAATTTTAAAAATTTATATGCAAATGGTACTACATCAAACCGAAAAACTTCTATGCATCAAAGGAAACAACAGGGGCCGGCCCGGTGGCGCAAGTGGTTAAGTGCACACGTTCCGCTGTGGCGGCCCGGGGTTCGCCGGTTCAGATCCCGGGTGTGCACCGACGCACCGCTTGTTAAGCCATGCTGTGGCGGCGTCCCATATAAAGTGGAGGAAGATGGGCATGGATGTTAGCCCAGAGCCAGTCTTCCTCAGCAAAAAAAGAGGAGGATTGGCATCGGATGTTAGCTCAGGGCTGGTCCTCCTCACAAAAAAAAAAAAAAAAGGAAACAACAGAGTGAAAAGGCAACCTACAAAATGGGAGAAAATATTTACAAATCATGTATCTGACAGGGGGTTAATATCCAGAATATATACAGAACTCCTACAACTCAACAACAAAAAAACAAACAACCCAATTCAAAAATGGGCAAAGGACTTGCATAAACATTCCTCAAAAGAATATACACAGGAGCTGGCCCCGTGATGTAGTGGTTGAGTGCGCGTGCTCTGTTGCTGGCGGCCCAGGTTCGGATCTCGGGCGCGCACCAAGACACCACTTGTCAGGCCACACTGTGGCAGCATCCCATGTAAAGCAGAGGAAGATGGGCACAGATGTTAGCCCAGGGCCAGTCTTCCTCAGCGAAAACAGGAGGATTAGGGGGCCAGCCCAGTGGCGCAAGCAGTTAAGCACGCGCGCTCCACTGTGGCGGCCCAGGGTTTGCCGGTTCGGATCCCGGGCGTGCACTGACGCACTGCTTGGCAAGCCATGCTGTGGCAGCGTCCCATATAAAGTGGAGGAACACGGGCACGGATGTTAGCCCAGGGCCAGTCTTCCTCAGCAAAAAAAAAAGAGGAAGATTGGCAGATGTTAGCACAGGGCTGATCTCCTCACCAAAAAAAACAAAAAAGAGGAGGACTGGCATGGATATTAGCTCAGGGTTGATCTTCCTCACACACACAAAAAAAGGAATATACACAAATGGCCCAAGCACATGAAAACACGCTCAACATCACTAATCATCAGAGAAATGCAAATCAAAACCACAATGAGATATCCCCTCACACCCATGAGGATGGTCAGAATCAAAAAGCAGAGAATAACAAGTGTTGGTGAGGATGTGGAGAAGTTGAAACCCTGTGCACAGCTGGCAGAAATGTAAAATGGTGCAGCTGCTGCAGAACAGTATGGTGGTTCCTCAAAAAATTAAAAATAGAACTACCATATGATCCAGCAATTCCACTTCTGGGTATACACCCAAAAGAATTGAAAGCAGGGTCTTGAAGAGATATTTGCACACAGATATTGTTCATAGTAGCATTATTCACAAACAGCCAAGGGGTGGAAGCAACTCAAGTGTCCATTCACAGATGAATGGATAAACCTAACATGGCATGTTCATACAATGGAATATTATTTGGCCTTAAAAAGGAAAGAAATTCTACAATATGCTACAACATGGATGAACCCTGAGGACGTTATACTAAGAGAAAGAAGCCAGTTACAAAAAAACAAAAACGCTGTATGATTCCATTTATATGAGGTTCCTAGAATAGTCAAAATTATAGACACAGGAAGTAGACTAGTGGTTGCCAGGGGAGGGGGATAGGAAGTGAGCGTTTAATGGGGAAAGAGTTTCAGTTTTGCAAGATGCAGAGTTCTGTGGATGAATGGTGGTGATGGTTGCACAACAATGTAAATGTATTTAACAGTACTGAACTGTACACTTAGAAAAAGTTAAGATGATAAACTTTGTTATATGTTTTTACCACAATTAAAACAAATTCTAAAAACAATGTAAAGGCTATTTGCCACCCCAGTCTGCCGCTCTGCATTCTAACAGCGGCCAGGCCCATGCTCAGCCCTGAGGACACAGGGCTGCTGCCGGCAGAGGCGTACAGGCAAAGGAAACAAGCTGCCCATGAGCAACGCAGTGTCAACTGTGAGAAAGGCTGCCGGGGTGCTGACGGGGACCCAGAGGGAGCGGTCTGCACCAAACTGGGCTGGCAAGGGGGAGCATTTAGGCTGAGCGTGAGGGAAGAGGAGCAGAGGCAGACGCAGAGGCAGGCGGACGACAGCAGGAATCACCCTGGATGGGAACAGCCCCGCTGCTGCCACCTCGATTTGCACACACTGCAGCCTCTGCCCGGGGGCCTCCCAGGACCCTCTGATGGGGTCCGGGCCCACTCTCGTCCCTCAGCTCTCTGTACTGTCCAGCCGTGCCTGCGTCCTCGCCTGCCTCCCCAGACTGTGAGCTTGAGGGTGGTGGCTCTATCCCACTCACACTGGCCCCAGAGAGGTGCGCTACTAGAGGGATGAGGGAGACAGATTCAGGGAGCCCTTGGGGAGGGAGCTGGGTGGCCGGCCTGGACCCTACAAAGTGGGGCTGGGGGTGGGTGCATGGAGAGGGAGAACAGTGGGAGGACCCTGAGGCAGAGGGATTTCCTGGAGGGGCTGCCCCTTGGGCTGGGAGCCTCATAGGAGAAAGACAGGCACTCACTTACATGGAGCAGAGCTCAAGGAGCCAGTGGGGATGACAGATGACCCACTCCTGCACCTTCCTTGCACCCCCTCCCTGGCACTCGCAGTCTGTGGTCTGGAGCTCCGGGTCACCAGGGCAGGACACAGTCCCAAGGGGTAACCCCAGTTCCCAGAGAAGCAAGATCCCCAGAACCATTCTAAACACTAACCTGAGAGTTCTACCCCACTGGGTGTCTCAGCTGGAGACAGGTCCCTGGGAAGGTCCTGCATCTACAAACATTGCAAAGACCCACCCCCTACCCCTGAGCATCTATTTCTGGCTCAGATTTCCCCCTATAAGTTCTCAAAATGCTCCACTGCCCACTCACATGACCCTGACTTGCTGGCTGACCTCACCCTCTCCTTGTTCCAGCAGCGTACGGGCAGCAACTCACTGGATAACTCACGATCACCCCACACTCAGCCACGATGGGCCCAGAGGCCTGAGGAAGGGAAGAGCAACCCACAGGTGGCTCTGAATGGTCTGATCTGGTCCCCGTCCACCGTCCACCCTGCCCAGGGCCACGCCTGCTCCCCACAGTGCACTCAGCAGCCTGGCAGGGCAGCCACGCAGTGGAGCTCTGCCCAGAGCAGCTACTTCAGGTGCTTGGCAGGCTGTGCCCATGCCGAGGTGGCCACGACACCAACTCTGGACATCCTGCAACCCCAAAGGGCCAGGAGGTGGCCAGGACAGGCTCTCATGTCCAGTTTACCAGAACATTCTCGCAGGATGGTTGTTGGCCTAGAACATCATTTTAGTTCAAAAGGTCCCGGACTGAGAACAGTCTACAAGCTGCTGTCTGCTGCAGCACTAGGGTGCCCCTGAGCCTAACCATGAACTCGGCCCAGTGGGCCCCAAGAAAGCCAGCATCAAGGAATTCGGTCACTCCCAACGGACGTGTGCATGAGTGACGACCCATCACTTTAGTGCTGCTGTTTCTAACAGTGCCTGCAGCAGGCCCTGTGCCCGTGACAGGCCCCGGGCCCAGTGCTGTACGTAGATGAACTCTGGCAGATGACGACCCAGAGGCACAGGAGACTGTGGAACACACCCCCGTTGGTCCAGAGCGGTGCTCCTGGCACAAATGCCTCCAGTCCCCCTCATTCCACCAGTCCACACAAGGCTGGCTAAGGATTCTTTAAGACTGGAATCTCCAACCTCCCGCAGGGCTCTCCATGAGATAAAACCAAATTCAAAGCCAGCAGCCGCCCCCTGCAGGTCTGACCCGGGCTCTCTCCCCCAGCCTCCAACCCCCACTCCGATTTACTTTCCAAACTCTTGCAGGGTCCCAAACACACACTCCCTTTATCCTTTCCCATCTGTCCGCCTGCCTGAGGCTCTTGCACTCTTCAAGACTGGATCCAAATGTGACCTCTCCTGCCCTTGGGGCTCCTCATACAGTCCTCACAGAGCACTTGACCTGTCTCTCCAGGAGCCTGGAGCCAGCAAGAAGGAAGCTGCTTCACACATCTCTGTGTCCCAGGCAAACTGCATGCACCCAGGCACAGAGCACGTGCACAATAAATTATCTTTTTAATTGTTTAAGAGCAGCTAATCAGTTGTTATCAAACACAAAGAAGAAACAAAAAACCTTGCAAAGACTTTTCTAAGAGAAGAGAGCAAGAGGCTCTTTCCAAAAAAGCCAACTCCTGTATCTATCTGAAAAGAGAAGTGGGAAACCACAAGCACCTCCAGTCCTGAGATAAACCCAAATTCAGCCTCAAAGTTTCCAATCTCCTTACCTGACAACCCTTAAAGCCAGTTTTACACTTCTACTTCATAGACTTCAGAGTACTTTCTTTTAAAAGAGAGAAAAAGAAACAGAAATGTTCCGAGAAAAAAAATAATGAAGCACCCATATCCCCACCACCTCAAATTAGCCGCTTCAGAGCACTTCTCATGCAGACACAAAAAGCATTTCAGAAGACTTCACTCAAAGGGCAGACTTTGACCTCCATCCTCTGACGCATTTCCAAGAGACCAGGAAATCTGAAGACAAGTTCTAGAGGAACAGCCTGAAGTCCGTGTCCTAATCTTTAAGCACTACACAAGTGCTTAAAGGACAGATCTAGAACAGGAGGAGGAAAAGTAAAGAATAATCACAAAATAAGAATAAGACCAAGCAATCAACAAAAATAACGCATGAACTCAAAATTAAGCAACACGCGGAAATTCATTTGAAGACACACATTGCACTGCTGATGTGCTGAGCACACTCCACCCACTCTGACTTGTGGCTCAGTGTCTGGCTGCTACATGCTCCAAACTGGATTAACTCCTAAGGGAAACTGAGTGCAGATCCTTGTCATTGCTAAGATGGCCAGGAAGGTCTCTCCTGACTCCTGGAGAGAAACGGTGGCAGACAGCTCCTCAGTCACTCTCACTGCAAGAAAAAAGTCTGCAGCCTAAACCGTTAAAACCTCCTGAGAGTTCAAAACACGACCAAACAAAAATAGTTGCTCATGGACTTACCACAATTTTAAAGTAAAAAAAAAGAGACAAAGATCACCTGAGCAGAACACCATCTACCTTCCCTTTAAAGCCATTTAGGAATAAAATGAAGCAGCTTCATGCCGTCAAGGACACACAGACAGCGCGCCAGTCGGCTCGTCCGCTCATCAAACACCCAGTGTGATGGCGATCAAGGCCTGCTCCTGGAACGAACCCCGCCAGTCACCTGGGCCGGAGCTTCCTCCCTAGACTCCAGAACCCCGGGGCCTGGGGACCGAGGTCAGCTCTGCCGTTTGCCAAGCGGCCCCGTCCCGAGCCCGCCCGCGGCTCAATTTCCCCGTCTTTACAGCGGCGAGGCTCCGGGCACGGATTCGCCGCGTCCCTGCGCACTGCCTGCCGGGCCCGAGTAGGGCTCGAGACCCCGACTCCACCGCGGCCAGCCCGGTCCCGGCAGGCGGAGACTGCAGCGCGGACCCGGGGCGGCCCAGGTCTTTGCGCCCCGCCATCCCGGCAGTCCCAGCGCGGGGCCGGCGGGCGCGAGGCCTCAGTTTCCCCGGCGGGCGGCCTCACCTGGCGGGCGGCGGCGGGCCCCGCCCCGTTCAGCAGCGGCGTGCCCTCGCCGGCCGGACTCTCGGGCCGCGCCGCCCTCCGCAGCAGCGGCGCCGCCTCGTCGTCGTCCAGGTCGCGGCCGGACCACGACACCTTCTTGGAGACGTTAGCCATGACCCACAGCACACAGACCGGCCAGCCCGGGACCACCGCCACCTCCGCCGCCGGGTGTTTGCTCTCGTGACCCGCCCCGCCGCCACGTGAGTCGGGCGGTGGCCACGTGACCCCGCGTGGCGGCTGCGGGGGGGGGGGGGCAAGTGCGCGGTGCCTTCTGGGAGTTGTAGTCCGGCCGCCGGGCGCCGACTCGCGGGCGGCCGGGGGGTTCCGCCGCATCTGCGGGCTGAGAGAAGGACGCGCCCCGAGGTTGGTGCCGGCAGGAGTCTATTCACACACCCAGAACCCATCACGACAGGAATGGGAAAGAATCCGGGAGTCCACACTGAGACAGGGGAGGTCTTTGCAGTAGATAATAAATAAATGTGGAAGGATGGAATTAGACACATCACCGTGTGGCCACCGCCTAGTAACAACTGATTCTGGCGAGAATCATTAGCGCGTGCTAAAGCTCCCGGGCTAAGTTTTGTTGGGAAACAGAATGTGTCCGCAGTCTCACAATATCTTCCTCGGGTTACTTATGATGAGAAGGTAAAGGAAATCTGTAAGAAATCTGCTGTGAGACATCGGCAGCCTCCACCTGAACCAAGGACAAGCTTAGCGTCACCAGAGGGAACGGGCTGTGTTAAAAACAAGACAAGAGGCCCCAAACGGAGTTACTTATGCTAAGCCCCACGTCCCCAAGCCAAGACTTAGTGACAGTTTGGGCTCTCCCAGGAGTGGAATCTTAAACCAGTCAAGCAGGCATCACCTGGTCAGCACTAGAGAGGTCATCTGCCCGATAGACCTGTGCCGTCCCCTAAAGGAAGGGGACCTTGACACAGTCAATCTGCACTAGAGAGGTCATCTGCCCGATAGACCCGTGCCGTCCCCTAAAGGAAGGGGACCTTGACACAGTCAATCTGCTTTTTGCTAGTATATCTTCCTTGTCCTGCTCCCCTCTGCCTATAAAAGTCTTTCATTTTGTACAGCTCCTTGCAGCTCCTTTCCATCTGCTTGATGGGATGCTGCCCAATTCATGAATCATTGAATAAAGCCAATAAGATCTTCAACATTTACTGGGTTGAATTTTGTTAACAGCCGGCATCGTCATGGGCCTGCAGATGTGTCGTGCTGAGAAGGACACAACGTTGCTCCTGTGGTGTTCCTGCAGAAAGTACTTCACTGAGTCCCACCACATGGGGAAAAAAATCAGATAAACCTAAATTGAGGGACTCTTGCTAAACAACTAGGCGGCTCTGTTCTGTAGTGTCAGCATTGTGACAAAGAAAGGCCGAGGAACTGCCCTCAATGGCAGGAGATTAAAGAGAAGGGACAACTGAAGGCTCCTCGTGGCTCTGGCACCACTGGGACAACTGGTGAAGATGGGATCCGCACTGAGCATCAGGTCGTGGGAGTGTAGGCTGTTCAGTCCCCCGTGTGATCATGGTCCTGCGGTCACACCAGAAAAGGTCCTTGTTCTCAGGAGAGACGTCCTGAAATCTGTAGGAGAATGGGCTGGGGTATGATGTCTGCCACTTAGTCTCAGATGATTCACAAGCTAATTGTAATCGTAATGTGTAGCCCCCCACAGAGAGAGAAAGAAGTATGCTGAAATGTTCACACTTGACAAATCTACAGTAAATATACGTGACATGCAATGTATTCGGCTTGCAACTTTTTTTTAGGTCTGAAACTTTAAAATAAAAAGATTTTAGTTTTGTAGAGGCTCTGAGGCTGAGAAGATACCAGAGCCCCTCCCTCCACATAATTCAAAATAAAACCAAAACTAAAACCAAAATAAGAGGAAGGAAGTCCAATTGAGTTTTGAATTTTTCCCATGATTACTGTACACTGAGTTTTTTGGAAATACTAAGAACAACATTCTTTCAAACAAGATGTTTTCTCATTAGTGTGACCTGGTGGTGCCCTTTCGAGTGATGATGACAAGAGCACAAAGACCCCAGTTTGTGGTTGAGGGAGTGGAGCGAAGCCGGCTGGCACGGCCCTGAGGAGCAAGCAGGGTTGGACCTGGACTGGTTTGACGAAGTGAGTGGCCGAGTGGGGTTCGTGTGAGGACGTGCAGGCAGGCAGAAAGCTGAGCAGAGTAATGGGGAGGTGAGGAGAACAGTCCGCCAGCTGAAAGGGCCATGCTGGGGAGGGCAGCCCATCTCTGTGGCCAAGGGGGACAGGGCTGGTCCCAAAGACCACCCCCGTCAGACAGACAAGGAACCTGAACTTGTCCTTTTGCTGGACGGGTGGCTCTTTCAGAAGATGAATGGCACGGGGTGGGCAGGGCAGGGGCAGCGAGAAACCAGCCCAGCTCCTTGTCGAGTCCCAGCTCCCAAAGCAGCAGGAGGGCACCTCTGGGTCGTTTTGTTCTCCTTACCCAGAGTTGCAACTGACTCAGGTCAAAAGTGGGATTTGAGGACATTAGAGGTGGATATGGCTCATGCTTCAAAATGTACATAGGAATTTGTCGCTAACCCCACAGGGATGGCAGATCACGTGAGATTCGTGTTCAGACTCCCCTGCTGCAAAACCTGGACAGGCTTCCCTTATGCTGCCAGACAGAGCCCAGACTTCTCAGCTGGACAGGCCAGCCCTTCCCAAATTCCCAGCGACCTGAGCTCCCACCAAGCTGTCTCACCGCCACTCCAAGCCCTTGCGCAGCCCCCTACCCTCCTGGAGGGCCCCCTCCCTAGGAAGCATCCGGAATGCAGCAGCCCACTGCAGGCTGCCTCCACTGAATTCCCACAGCTTTAGAGTCTTCGGACATGCAGCAGAACGCTGCTGTGAATGGTGAAACGTCCTGGGTCCCTACTGTGTTATAAACACGTGACAGCAGGGAAGGGGTGGGAAATTACACTCTGGATGGTCTTTTTACTCTGGGGAATGTGTGTCCCTCGAGAAATACTTACTAATTGAATTACCAGTCTTCCCAAAAGAAAGATTTCATAGGAGCAAGAGCTCCAGAAAGGCCAGAGGAGCCTGGGAAAGAAAAGACTTGAGAAGGGGCGGCTGTCCATGAAGATGGACGAGTCCTGGGGAAGCGCAGGGGAAGCAGAAGCCAGTGATTCAGGGTCTTCACATGGCACCCACGGGGGTTTCCATTCTACAATGCCGCTTCTGACCTTGACTCATGGACAAGTCAGTGGTGTTGGGGGAGGCGCTGGGCTGAATCTTTGAGCGGAAGGCCCGGAATTGCTCCCAGCTCATTAGAGACCCCAGGGACTAATTTAGGGCACCTCCCTCATGGAGTAGCTGTGCCCGCCGGGCCACCTCCTCCTGGGCGAGGCCTCTGCAGAGCTGAAACCAGGGCCCCTCATGGTTCAGGTGGAGCGGGACCTGGGAATTCTCTAGTTTGTTTCCTCACTTTTAAAATGGGTTGGAGTAGGTGAATTCTAAGAACCGGGCCTGTTTCCAAACTCAGTGATTCTAAGCCTCTCCCGCAGGTGGAGGTGCCTCCCCGCCGACCCCACCACACCCCACCCCACTGTTCTTTTGTCCTATCTGCACCAACTTTCTTTCTGATCCTGTGATCTTGTGTTTGGGTCTCCTTTGGGAATCTACAATATTAGAGGGTTTAATTTACATCACACTGAAACTTAAATAAAGTAAACCATGCCTGTTCTAACTGTCAATGCATGTTTTTTTACATGCCACAATTCAGAATTCTAAAAAAAGAAAAAGTTGTCAAAAAGACAGACAATATCAAGTGTTGGCAAGAATGTGGAGAAATGGGCTCCTTCACACGTTGTTGGTGGGAATGTAAAATGATGCAGCCACTTTGGAAATCAGTTTGGCAGTTTCTTTGCAAGTTTAGACATGAGTTTGCCATACGACTCAGTAATTCTTCTCCTAGGTATGCACTCAAGAGAAATGTAAACGTATGTTGACACAAAGACTCATATGAGGATGCTCGTAGCAGCTTTACTCACAATAGGGAAAAACTGGAGACAGACCAGATCTCCACCCGCTGATGAACAGATAAACAAAATGCCGTCCATTCCCACAGAATGTGGTTCAGCCCTACAGAGGAGGGAAGCAGGGACACAGGCAGCACCAGGAACGAACCTGGAAACTATTACATTGAGTGAAAGAAGCCAGACACCAGAGACCAGAGTGTGTGATTCCATTTATGTGAAATGTCCAGAACAGGCGGATCCACAGAGACAGAAAGCAGATCAGTGGTTGCCAGGGGCTGGGGGACGGGGCTAGGGTGGGGACAGGAGTGACCGCTAACAAGCATGAGTTTTTTGGGGTGCAACAGAAATGTTCTAAAACTGGATTGTGATGGTTGCACAACTCGGTAAATTTACTAAAAATCTTTGAACCGTTCACTTAAAATGGGTGAAATTTATGGTACGTAAATTCCACCCCAATGCCTTGCCTTAGAAGCACTGCCAGGGGCCGGCCCGGTGGCGCAAGCAGTTAAGTGCACGTGCTCCGCTGCGGCGGCCCGGGGTTCGCCGGTTCGGATCCCGGTGCGCACCGACGCACTGCTTGTCAGGCCATGCTGTGGCAGCATCCCATATAAAGTGGAGGAAGATGGGCACAGATGTTAGCCCAGGGCCGTCTTCCTCGGCAAAACAAGAGGAGGACTGGCTGATGTTAGCTCAGGGCTGATCTTCCTCACAAAAAAAAAAAAAAAAAAAAGCAGCACCGCCAGCCCGTCACCCTCGTTAATGTTTCCTCCTGAACAGCTTGCCCCCTTTGTGGGCTCCCACTTCCTGGCGGCTCTGGCGGCCTCACCAGCCCCCACAGGACCTTGAGGAAGCCCCAGGGCTCCTAGTGAAGGGGGGCTGTAGCGTTGGGAGCCAGGAAATGGATTCTATGGCCCTTTTCATGAGAGATGTTGGAACAAGAATCACCCAAAGGGAAACTTTCATAAGCCACATGGAGAGAGGGCGATGGCAGTTCAAATGCCGCCTACACAGTCTCAAGGAAAACGGGAGTTCTCCAGGAAGTAGCCCGTAATCAAAGCAAACTCATGCCCAGAGGAGAGGCCCCGTGGATTCCAGGGCCAGGTCGGGCCATGTTGAAATGATGTCATACTACAAAGAGTGGGGACTGTAAGAATGCCACAGAGAGGGAAAGAATGCAGTCCTGGGGCCCCCAACTCTGGCTCTGCCTGCCGGTCTTCTCTCTCCCCTCCATGTTTCCTTGTCCCACCCCCAGGATGCCCACATCCTATGTTAGAGGACCCCCCTGGCTGGGGGTCGGAGGCAGCAGCCTGCCCTTCGCTCCCCAGTCTAGGTGGGGGGCCCTCTATGGCGTGTGTTGGGGTCGGAGGTGGCCAAGCATGGCCAAAAACTTGCTCCTCTTGGCAGCCCAGAGCATGACCACAGCTCCTGCGTGGCAAGGCCTCATGGACAGAGCTCGGGGCAGGTGCAGTTCACCCTCTGCACGAATCTGCCTACTGATGTGGCGTTGGCCAGCGTCAGGATGGCACCCGTTGGGAGCTCCTTCCCAGTGGCAAGATTTGAGACTTTCCCAGAGACCAGCGCCCGGTCCCAGATGGCCAGGCCTGCCATGCTCCCCACGAAGGCCTCAGAGCTGTCAAACCCGCTCCCGACGCTGTCTTGCTCCCGGCCCAGCACAAGGGACCCTCCTGGAGGGATCTCGTAGCCCTCCCTGAAGTGGGAGCCGGTGGCCACCAGCCTGCGGTCCATGTGGAGCCAGTACCTGCCCAGGATTGATGTCCAGATGATACACACGTGGTGCCACTGGCCGTCCAGGAGTGGCTGCAGGGACAGCTCCCTGAAGGCTGGGGCTCCAATCACAAAGTGGATGGAGCCGGGGACCAGGGAGTCCCGGCCGTGCAGCACCAGCTTGTTTTCATTTTCTTCGGTGGCGTAAGAGAGGAGGGTGCCCAGGTGGCCCGAGGCCGTGCGGACCCAGCTGCAGACAGACAGAGCCTGCAGGCCCGAGAGGAAGCTGGGGCTGAGGAAGACCACGTTCTCGGTGGAGGCGTTGGGGAAGATGAGCACTGGGCCCACATTGCAAACGAGAAACAGAGGAGGAGAGTCAGCCAGTGCACCATGAGGCCATCCAGAAGCATCCAGAAACATCCAGGCACTGCCCTTTGCTCCAGGCGGGTGGGCCTACAGCCCCCCAGCTGACCTTCATCGAACACTAACTGAGAAGGCTTGCCTCACAGGGTCTCATTTATCCTTGACACACGACCAGCCCCATCTCACAGGTGGGAAGACTGAGAGCCAGGGCAGTCAGTGCCTTGCTAGGGAGTGAGCTCACCGTCCGGGGAGCCTCTGTGTGAGTTTCCCGTGGCTGCTGTAACAAGTCCCCACACACTCAGTGGCTCAAAACAAGACAAATTTAGTATCTTACAGTTCTGGAGGTCAGAAGTCCAACATGGGTCTCCCTGGACTAAAATCATGTGTCCGGAGGGCTGGTTTCCTCTGGAGGCTCCGGGGAGAAGCCCCTTCCCGTCCTTACCAGCTTCCAGAAGTGCCCACATCCTGTGGCTCATGGCCCTTCCTCCATCTTCCCAGTGCATCCCTCTAACCTCTGCTCCTGTCATCACATCTCCTTCTCTGAGCCCGACCCTCCTGCCTCCCTCTGACAAGGACCCCTGTGATGACATTGGGTCCCCGGGATAATCCAGGATCATCGCCCACCTCAAAGTCCCTAATCATATCTGCAAAGTCCCCTTGCCACGTAGGGGGATGTGTCCACAGGGTCCCGCAAGCAGGACGTGGACACCTTTGGGGCCATCATCCTGCTGACCAGACTTCCTGCCAGGTCTGCCTGACAGCAGGGTCTGCAGGGCCAGGGTGGGCAGTGCCTGGGAATCTGCATTTCTAGCCAACCAGTCCATTGCGTTCAAGGATGGAGGGTGTTCTGTGGACAGCCCCCAACTCCTCTCTCCACCTCCGGGGCTCCTGTCATAATCTAGGGCAGTGGTCCTCAACGAGAGGGGACTGTACCCCCCCAGGGAGATCTAGCAATGTCTGCAGACAGTTTTGGTTGTCAGAACTTTGGGGACTCCCAAACCTACAGCCCCTCCCTTTCCTGGGAGCCCTGGTGGTTCCCTCAACATCAGCCGGTCAGTCCCGTCTTATCAGTGAGGCCACTAGATCCACCCAGATGGAGTTAAATCCTGCTTCAGGTTAACGGGGCCTCGGGGCTGCTAAGCCAGACAGAGGGAGCAACTTAGTCAAAAATAAAAGCTAAAGGTGAACTGGTATTAAGTGGGTGGAGGCTGGGATGCTGCTAAACACCCTACGGTGCGAGGGACAGCCCCCCACGATAACGATCGCCCAAATGTCAGTAGTGCTGCGGTCGAGAAACCCTGACCTGGGAGATCAGAAATGGCAAGGCAGAAGAGGCATTGCAAAGGCCTGGGGGACCCCGCAGGTGGGCACAAGCCCCACGGAGGTGCTGGCCGAGGCCGGGGCCCTGCAGAGAGAGCTCGTGCTGGCCATGGTTGAGGACGTCAGTGGGATCCCGCCAGCCCTAATGAGGGTAATCCCCAACTCTGAGCCAGCATTTACTGCCCACGTGTGCACATTCACTCCTAACGTCCAGGCCGCTGAGTGGCCTGTCCTGCTGGGGACCTGCACACAGGCTGTCACCTGGATTGTCCCCATCTTCTGAGGTGGGGTATGTGGGGCACGAAGCCAGCATCCCCTCCACACAGCCCCATAGAGGCTTTTTGGAGGGGACTGGAGGCCTAAGGAGGCACGAGAGGGAAGAGTGGAGATGGATGAGGAAGGGCAGGCCCATGGTACTTACTTTCTCCCAGTCTCTCGGGGGGCCACGCCCGCTGGCTGCCTGGGTCTGGGGGCTCCCGTGTCCCTGGGAGACGGCCAGCAAAGTCCTGAGGCCGGTCCCCGGGCTCAGGCAAAGTTCTGAGAGCCTGCCTATCCCCTTGTGGCTTTGGGGACCTTGGGCTTGGTGGCCCAGGCTGGGCCGGGGTCAGCCCCGGGGCAGTGGTGCCAGGACCAGCCACCTGCAGCTGCCCCTTGAGAGCAGCCAGCCTGGCGCCCTGGCTCTGGACGAGGGGCGTAAGGCGAGCCAGCATGTCCTGTAGGGCCCGCACGTCCAGGGCCAGGCCCGAGAGGGCAGCCCTTTGTGCCTCCTGCTTCTTCCTCTCCCGGGTGCACTGCTTGCTCCTCTGGCTCAGGGCGGCACTCAAGGCCCTCAGCCTGGAGTCCACCTTCCGGCTTCTGCGCCATGTCTTCTGCATCCAGGTCTTGAGGTGGCCCAGATCACCCTGCACGGCAGCCTGCGACTGGTTGACGGCCAGAGCTATGGCCCGGCTCTCCTGGGCCAGGCTCCAGAACCGGGCGTCGATGTTGTACGACAGGTTGTAGTTGCTGGCAATGCTCTGCAGGTGTGTTAAGGTCACCTCTTGGAACCTCCGAAACTGTAGAGTGGACACACAGCAGTCAAGGGGGCCGAGGGCCGGGGAGGGGCGGAGAACCAGCCTCCCCTGCTCATGATTCTGTGGCACCCACCGTGCACCGGGCCATGATCCGCACTGATTTGATCCTCATGAAACACGGATTCCCATGAGCAGCCCCACCACAGCTGAGCCTGAGAGGCGGGTGAGCAACCCAAGGTCACTCGGCTGCACCGTGTGGGGCGAGGGCTCCAGGCCCACAGCCCGGCTCCCATCCCTCCCCCTCACCCCACACTCTTCACCCCTGTGACCCTCAGGCTCCTACCTGTGAGTGGACACGTGGCAGGATGGGCTTCGTGAGTGGTTTGTGGGGGTCAAAGTGGGGCGTGCTTGGTGCCGGACCAATACATGCGGGGCACTCAGAACGGGCTACGGACCCACGCAGGAGTCTCTGCTCCCTGGGGGACCCGAGACCTCACACCCCCAGGACCGGTGATGCCGCCTGGCCCTCCCCACTGCCCTAGCACACTGGCAGCTGCACTCGTGGGGTCTTCCCAACCCCCATTCCTGCCTCTGACTCCCCTCAATCCTCACGTCAGGTGGCCTGTCTTCAGAGCAGAGCTCAGCAAACCTTTTTTGCTGGTTTCCAATTATAGGTGAAAGTAACACCAGCTAATAAAAAGAACTACAAACGCCACGTTTGTGTCCACGAGCGCTGACGCTTACCGCTCCGTTTCTGTAGCGCCTGTGCTTTGTCTGTTGTGAGTCTGAAATAATCAACCGTCCCATACGGCGAGTGCACTGACCCGCTCTTCCAGTTGACGGAGCCTCTCCACAACGGTGTGCTGTGCCCTGCAGGGCCGGCTTCCCATGACAAAGCCTCATGCAGGCACATGGGCACTAACATAAAGAAGAAAGACAGGGTCTCCCTCCCTGGGCGGCCCATTCCGAGAAGGCCAGCAGCAGGAGTCCCCTGACCACAGGAGAAGGCTGTGTGCTTCGTGCTCCTGCCTCGCCCCTCACTCCTCCCAGCTCTCCAGTGGAGCCGTTTTCCTTCTTTGACTCCGGGTGGGAGTCAGGTACTTCCGGCCACCTTAATGAAGGCATCGGCCTGCAAGCCAATGGGCTCTGGAGAGCTGGAGTTTCCCGAGGACACAGCTTAAAACAGAGGCAGTTTCTTTGGAAGATAATTCTACTGGGTGCAGGCCTGGTCCAGCTGGCTCAGAGGCAGACCGAGGCAATTGCTTTAGCAGGAGCACGTGGACTCAGGTTCCCACCAAAAAGAAGTTGAAGCAGGACAGGAAACCAGCTGGGTCCGGGAGTCACTGAAGCCGAGTTTGCAGTGGGGCCCCAGCATCTTGGCCGTGCACAGCGGCTCCTGTCAGGCCTGTCTCTCTCCCTTGGATAAGGCAAAGGAAATGGAAGTGGGAGCCATCTTAATTTATTTTGGGGTACAAGCTATGTAGTAGGCTAAATGATGTCCCCCCAAAAGTGGGTCCAAGTCCTAACCCTGGTAGCGGGTGAATGGGACCTTATTTGGATAAAGGGTCTTTGCAGATGTAATTAGGGATCTTGAGATGCAATCCATCCTGGATTATCCAGGTGGGCCCTAAATCCAAGGGCTGGTGTCCTTATAAGAGACGGAAGAGGAAGAAACAGACATGGGGGAGAAGGCCGTGTGAAGATGGAGGCAGAGATGGGGGTGATGTTGCCACAAGGAACGTCCAGCAGAAGCTGGACATGGCGGGAAGGATCTCCCCGGAGCCTTTGGACAGAATGTGGCCTTGCAACGCCTCGATCTCTGACTTCTGGCCTCCAGAACTGCAAGAGCAGGAGTTTCTGTTGTTTCAAGCTCCCGAGGTTGTGGTCATTGTTTACAGTAGCACGTTGACACACTCCCTGCCCCTCAGGGTCTCCCTAGGGATGGGTGGGGACCTTGTCCTAGGGCCAGCTACATGGACAGTTATGACTTAGTGAGTGGAGCAGGATAGAACCACGGTCAAGGCCAAGACTCGCAGTTAAGTGTGATGGCCGTGCACAGATGCAGGTCTCCCCTCTCTCTTCAGGCCCCACTTGGATGTTCCAAGGAACAAAGGCTGAAGGAGCCACAGGACTCAGGAGAACAGGAGGGGAGACAGCAGCAGGTGCAAGAGTCCAACACGTTTTGAGAGAATGAGAGGTCAAGGGCATGTGGTACCTGACCCAGCAGAGCAGAGAGAGCTGCAGAGGGCACGGATTGTGTCAGTGTCCTGGGGCTGTTGTAACCAATGACCACATGGGGGCTTAAAACAGCGCTCTGTCCGAAGGCTCCGGGGGGGATCCTTCCCACCTTGCCCAGCTTCTGGCGTTCCTTGTGGCAGCATCACCCCCATCTCTGCCTCCATCTTCACACGGCCTTCTCTCCTCTGTCTATTATAAAGACACCAGTCATTGGATTTAGGGCCCACCCGGATAATCCAGGATGATCTTGAGATTCGTAACTTAATTACAACCACAAAGACCCTTTTTCCAAATAAGCTCCCATTCCTAGGTACGGGGTTAGGACTTGGACTTATCTTTTTGGGAGCCACCATTCAGCCCATTACAGGGAGATCTGAGAGGTTGGGGGGTGTCCAGGGATGGTGGGAGGCTGGGGCGAGGCAGGGGCTGGAGTGAAGGGACTCGTGGTAAGTCTAGATATGGAGCTGCTGGACCCTCAGCTCCTCCCTGACCTCTTGCAGCTGGGCGACTCCTCCCAAGCACCAGCCCCATTGCAGGACGTGATCAGCCGGTCTTTGGAGCTGCAACTGTTGGGCCCTTGACATGCGGCCAGTCTGAATGGAGGTCCACTATAGGTGTAAAATGCACACTGGATTCAAGACTTAGTACAAAAAAGAAATGGAAACTATCTCATTAATCATCATATTCTATGTATGATTACATGTTGAAATGGTAACATTTTGGATAGATCGATATTTCCTTAAATAAAATATATTATTAAAATTAACTTTGCCTGTTTCTTTTTACTTTTTAGTATGGCTACTAGAAAATTTAAAATTAAACCCAGGGCTGGCCCCGTGGCTTAGCGGTTAAGTGCGAGTGCTCTGCTGCTGGCGGCCCGGGTTCGGATCCCGGGCGCACACCGACGCACCGCTTCTCCGGCCATGCTGAGGCCACGTCCCACATATAGCAACTGGAAGGATGTGCGGCTATGACACACAACTATCTACTGGGGCTTTGGGGGGGAAAATAAATAAATAAATAAAATTATAATTAAAAAAATATTAAAATTAAACCCAGAGCTCATATCATATTTTGCTTGGACAGCATGACCCTGGAGAAAGACTCTGGGTGTGCGGCCCGGCACCGAGACAGCCGACTTTCCTTTCAAACACTTTCATCATCAGTTTTTTTTTTAAGAATTTTAGTGGAAATTATACATATAAAATTCACTCATTTTAAGCATAACGCTAATAACAAGGTACTGAAATAAATATCTACATATCGAACTGTGGGACTCGGAAGGTTCCACCAGCTTCCAGAAAGCAGCAGCCGCAGCCAGGCACCAACCCCCAGGTAGGAGGGAGGTGGGAGCTTCTTCAGCCCTGGGGAAAAACCTGTACTACTGACAGCGTGGGCGAGAGCGTCCCTTCACCCCACCCACCCAAACGAATTCCCCCGTCCACGTGCAGAGCCTCCTGCCGTTTACTGTCTCCCGCTTAATACGAAAGCTCAGGCAAGACCACCAGCCACACGGGAGCTTCCGACAGGAGGGACAGAAATCTGCCCAAACAGAAAAGGAACCCTGAAGACATTGCAGAGGGCTAAGGAAAAGCTCAAAAGCATTCTAATTGATACCCTCAGAAAGACAAGAAGAGCCTGGTGTCCACAAGGCAAGAAATGGATACTACGAAAAGAGGAATAATCAGAAAGGAAGAAGTTGCTCTTGGAGATGAAAACTATGATTTTCAAACACATAAGTAAAACAGAAAAGCCAAGTTGAAGCAATTCCCCAGAAAGTCAAGCAAAAAGGCAACAGATGGAAAAGAAGAGAGAAAACATAACAGTTGAGATCAATCCAACGAGAAGAAGCTGTAGAAAGTGAGACTAAAGAAAACGGAGTGGAAGAGGTTTAGGAATATAATCCAGGAAGCTGTCACAGACAAGGGCATCTGTCATTTTCAAGACTCCATGCCAGAGAGCGCCCAGTCAAGGAACGGGCAACTGACCCCAAGGCTCATCTCGTCAAGTGTCGGAACATGGATGAGAAGATCCTAAAAGTGTCCAGAGAGAAAAACGTGGTCACGTGGGAAGGACTGAGACTTCCCCAGAGAACCGCTAGCCAGCTCAGCAACAATGCTGGCTGCCAAAGACAGAGGAGCAAACCTTAACATTTCTGAGTGAGAATGACCTTCATCAAAACTGTGCAGCGAGGGCCAGCCCCGTGGCTTAGTGGTTAAGTGCACGCGCTCCGCTGCTGGAGGCCAGGGCTCGCATCCCGGGCGTGCACCGACGCATCACTTCTCCGGCCATGCTGAGGCCCCGTCCCACATGCAGCAACTAGAAGGATGTGCAGCTATGACATACAACTATCTACTGGGGCTTTGGGGGAAAAAATAAATAAATAAAATTATAAAAAAACAAAACTGTGCATCGAGCTCAAAGGAGAATCGACCGGGAGCATTTTTCAGATATGCAAAGGCTTAAGAAATTTCTCTTCCGTGCACTGTTTCTTCAGAAGCTACTGGATGATAGGCTTCAGGGAAATATGGGACTAAGGGACAAATGCAGCAGCTGTAGAAACTGGAGAGTGAGGGCTCCAATCCGGAAGCGGACTGGGAGGGATTCCCAGAGTCCCAGGAAGGCATCATCCTCGACTCCTCGCCCCCCGTCACACCCCACGGGCAATACCTCAGCTCTACTCCACAGAAACTGCCCAGGTCAGTCCTTCTCACCGCCTGGCCCACACCTGTCCTTACACCAACCGCTCCGCTGGGCTCCCGGCATCCGCGGTTGCCCCCTACCGTCCATTCTCCTAACTGCACCCTGGGTGGACCTTTTAAAATGAGACTGCCCTCGGTTACTGAGCCTAATATTTCTATTTGCCGTCTCACATATTGCGCGTATACTTTATGTGTCCCCCTGATATGTGAGCACAGACTTTATCTGCTTCATTCTCTGCCCTGGGAGAGTGCTTGCTGCACGCAGCAGGCAATTAATTAATGTATGTTGAATGAATAAATGTTTACCAGATTATCCCACGACGACCGCTTATGTTGAAACGGCACCTCCTTGTGAGGTTTTCCCAGATCACTCCCTAAAGCTGCCAAGAGGATGTTCTGCCAAGACGGAAGGTTCCACATCTGCGTTGTGCATTATAGCAGCCACTAGCCGCAGGAGCCCTTGAAAAGCGGCTAGTGCGACCAAGGAACTGAACCGTTCCTTTCACTTGATTTCAGCTAATTTACGGAGCCACCTGTGGCTGGTGGTTACCATGTTGAAAGCTGCAGCTCCTACTCCAGGACCCTGTCTCACCGACGCCACCGCATTCATTAATACCCGAAATCACGAGCTGTTATTGCTTCCTTGTCTATGGCGCGTTTCCCTGCAAAGGTCGTAGCTCGGGCAGAGCAGGGCCTCGCCCGGGGCTGGGGAGCGAGGCGGGACACGCGGTCGGTGTTCGGCAGGTATTGTGGAGGCGCGCACGCGTGGCGCTCGGGGGAGAATGGGGCTCCGGAGCGGAGAGAGGGCTGGAAGCGATCACTTCGGGGAAGACGGACTCGGAAGCAGAGGGAAGGCCGCGGGGCCCGGGGCGGAGTTACCCGGTCGGAGACAGGCGCGCAGGCCCCGCCCCCGGGAACCACGCCCCCAGAGCCCCCGCCCCCTGCGCAGGCGCAGATGTGGCGGCCGCCCCGCGCCTCTTCCGGCACCCCGGCCTCGCCGCAGATTCGTCAGATCGACCCATGAGGACCGGCCTCACAGGCTCAAAAAAATTCAGCGGCAGCCCTTCCCGGACCCTGGGAGCTCGTGCTCCGCGGCCGCGCCCTAGGCCGCGACGAGAGCACGGAGCTGGCATCGCCGGCCGTGGCGAATCGGCGGAGTCTGAGCGCGCGGCGGCGACTCCGGGGACCGAGCTGGTGCGTGCCGACCCGAGACCCCTGCCCGCCGCCGAGGCTCCTTCCCGCCCCTGAGACCTCTGTCGGCCCCGACGCCTCCGCCCGTCCCGAGGCCCCCGCCTGTCCCCGGAGGTCTCTTCCTGCCGCGCCACGAGGTGGGCTCCAGGCGCACGCTGGGGAGGGGCGCGGACGGCTTGCGCGCGGCGTGCAGAGCCCACGTAGACAGGCTGGGCGGGGAGGCCCCGGGCTCTTGGGGACGCTTCTTGGGCCCTAATGCAGCCGTATCCAGTGGCTGAGTGCCCTGGGGACAGACGGGTCCCTACTTAATGGTACTGTGCTGCAGGGGCGCCCCCCCCGAAATAAATACCATCTACAGATGGATTTGGTTTCCAGGGAGTTGGGAGTGCTGACTGGTGCCTCTAGACCAGAGTCTCCCAACCTCTCACTATTGACGTCTGGGTTAGGATAGTCCTCTGTCGTGGGGGCTGTCCTGCGCATATGGGAGTGTACCAGCATCCCTGGTCCACCACCCCCTAGCCGCCAGTAGCACACCCGGTTGTGGCAACCAAAGATGTCTCCAGACACTGGCACGTGTACCTGGGGGACGGTTGTCCTATTGTAGAGGGTACCACGGAGATCCTCAGGCTGTGAAATGGACTCTTGGTGGAGACAGTGACATGCTGGAGGGGGAGGATATTGCTGGGTGACAGCAAAGGTGGGGAGGAATGGGGTCCCCAGGAAGCCTAATAGGGGCCAGAGAGTGGGTTTCTGAGAGCATGTGAAAAATACTTCCTTATCCGAGACTGAGTCTGTGTGGCTGCTGATGGCTCCTCGGATTTCTCACCTGCCTTTCCTGTGAACTCCAGGATGGACCCAGCGCTCTCGGCAGTCCGGCTCACTGTCCGGGAAGCCATTCACACCCTTTCATCTTCTGAGGATGGCAGCCTCATTCTCTCCACCCTGGGGTCCCTGAAGCGCTATCTTGGTGAAACGGAGAACCCAGCCCTCCCCAGGGAGCAGGAGGAATTTGCCAGGGTCCACTTTTCCGCCTTTCTCAGATGTCTTGTCGGCAAGCTGAGCCCGGACTGGCTGGAGCTGCTGCCCAATGGCCAGTTGGAGGAGCTGTGGGCCAGCTTCTTCCTGGAGGGCCCAGCCGACCAAGCCTTCCTGGTGCTGATGGAGTCCATCGAGGGCACTGCCGGGTGAGTGGGGCTGGGTCTGATTATGGGCTTGCTTGTAGCATCCCAAGCATAAGTGTGGCCTGAAAGATAGCAAACCAACAAGTTCTCCAAATTCTGTGAGAATTGAGCATCCTGAAAGGTGAGAGAATAGAACCTGCCCGCGGCAGAGCACCCGAGAATTAAAAGCGGTTTGTGTTAATCTTTGTAATGGGAGGGCCGTTGCTCTCTGTCCTGCCGTGGAGGTGAAGGGGAGAACAGGAGTGTTTGAATCCCGGCAGCTGAGGCAGTGGCTTCGCTCCAGACGTACGTGACACGGGTCAGCAGTGGGCATCGCCATCCTCCTGAGGCCCTTTTCTCCATTATGGCTCCCAGCTCTGCAGTGAGGCCCCCCAGGCACTGCAGCACACTTACGGGGTGCTCTGTGTGGGGACACCGTGTCTCTGTGAAGCTGGGTTTTCAGCGGTTGCTGTGATAAAAAGCGAGCACTGAGTGAAAATCGGCATGGGGCAGGAGAGGAGGGTGGTGGTGTCCAGTGCAATTCCAAGGTGGAGAAGCTGCGTGGGGCCCAGCAGGCGCTCATGTCCCACTAGTAATTGTGGCTCTTCAGCAGTGGGATTTCAATACTCTTTCTTTTGATGTGTGTATAGGACGCAAGTGTCAATTAAGTTGTTGGGATTACCTGTGTAATGACGACTGTTGTTACGCCTTTTGGCTGGGGGTCCGAGGATGGAGGGAGCTTGGGGCTCTGCCTGTCACACCCGCTCTTTGTTCAGCCCGAGCTTCCGTCTGATGAAGATGGCGCAGCTCCTGGCCGGGTTCCTGAGCGCGGGCAGGATGGCCGCCGTGATGGAGGGGCAGTGTCGGCAGCACACAGAGCCAGCCTCACCCCTGCTCCAGGAGACGCTCCTCACCAGGGTGGTGGGCCTGCCCGATCGCCTGGGCAACCATCTGCAGCAGGAGAGCCTGGCTGTGTTCTTGCCCCAGAACTACTTCCCTCTGCTCGGCGAGGAGGTTGTGCGGGTGCTACAGGCTGTCGTGGACTGTCTCCGAGGTGAGGCCCCTCTGCAGTGTCCTTCCAACTGTCTTCTCGGGGCTGCCGTCCCCTCCCGCCCTCCCCAGCCTCCTGGGACTTTGGAGTCTCTGGGCGGTGCCACTAGAGGGTCAGACGTTGTCTCCTGTTTGGGGCGGTGGCGACCCCCACACTGAAGTTTCACCCACTTCTTGGCTGTGGCTGTTGGAGATGAGGTGACCCTTGATTCCTACAGTTCACGGTCGGCATGTGGTGAAGCCATCCGGATGGGGCTGCTCCCCGCCCGGCCCCTCACTTGGCGTAAGTGGGAGGGTCCACGGTCTGCAGACTGAGGAGCCCTTACTGTGAAAGTGTCTTACCTGGCCGTTGGCCGAGGTCCTCTTCCCGCTGTGGGCTGGGGTCTGTCTCACCTGTATGGGCTTGGTCATCTTGGGTGGAGAGCAGCATGGAGAAGCTTGTTCTCTGGTGTCTGGAGTGGCCGCTGTGGGCCAGCTCTAAGGGGCTTCCTGCTTACTTTTTCCTTCATCACAAAGTTTTTGGGGCGTCAGCAACGTGGCTGCCCCACGTGTGAGTTTCAGGAAGTCGGGGCAGAGGGAGCCCCACATGTGCCTGGGCGTCAGGTGGTGGAGCTTCGCCTCCCCCGTGTGTGGCCCTGCCCTCTTGGTGGTCCTGCTTCGTGTCTGAGAGATGCCCCAGGCTTGGAGGAGGCTGACCTCCCTGGCCCCTGCGCTCCCCGAGCCCAGCCCCTCATCCTGCCTGGATCCTCGCACTGACCTCCCAAGGGCCCCTCTGAGCAGCTGCATGATGCTATTAACATAGAAGCCACGCCTGTGCTCTCTGCTCAGAACTCTCTAGAAGCTCAGAACCCTCTGGACAAGCTGGGGGCCATGTTCCTACTCTCCTGGCTCACTCAGCTTGTCACGTGTTCAGGCGAGTGTCACTTCTCAGGGACGCCTTCCTGGTTGCCCTGTGGAGCATCACAGCCCTGGGCCATGCTGCTTGCCCCACCCCTGGCCCTTCTTTCTGTGGAACCGACCGTCCCATAACGGCTCGGCTATGCGTGGCGGGGCAGGTGCTTATCTGCCCTGCGCACAGCGGCTCCCCGTGTTCAGGGTCACGGTCGTTCCACGTTTGTTGAGAGAAACAGAGCTAACCTGGTCTCCTTGGGCCTGTTAGCCGCGCTGGGTCCTGCCGGCGGTGGGCTGTGCTCCTGTGACCCTGGTGAAGGCGCCCTCGTGCCCCTTTGAGACGAGAGCCTGTGCCACATGCCCTTCTCTTTGGGGCTCTGGGGGACCGGGACTGGTGTGGTAGCTGTGATTTCACCAGGGTTCCTGCTGGGAGGAGTGGAGGGGTCTTGGGGACTCCCACGGCAGAGGGCTGCCCCAGGAGACTGGCAGGCAGTGGCCAGGGTGTGGCATGGCATCCCTCTGCCAGCCCCGCCCTGCTCTTCTGCTGGGAGTTGGGCTTTTCTTGGAGGGCGAGGATACAAGGCGGGAGGGGTGACCGCTCTGGACAGGCCACTGTCCCCCTCGTGTCCACACAACCCTCTGCTCTCTTGTGCTGCTCGAGGCCCTTCATGCGTGTTGCCTCATGGAGTCCCCATGAGCGCCTGTCACTGTCACAGGTGAGGGAGCCACAGAGAGGTGGGTGCGCGCCGGCATTTATCCAGCCCCAGGGTGCAAACTGGATTCCGGCCAGGCTGCCCAGCCCTGCTGCTCTGTGCTGGGAGATGCCGCCAGGGTGTTCTGGGTGTGCCTAGAGCGTGTCTAGAACACAGCTGCTTCACTCTGGGCCACGGCTGCGTGGTATTCCATCTCTGCAGGATCTCAGACGCAGATTCTGCGTTTCAGTCCATGCGTGGGTGCCGTCTGTCTTCTGGTCGGTCCCATCATCCTGCCTCTTCTGGTGGAGCTAGTGCTGCCCCATCCTCTCCTTGTCCCAATGTCCTCGATTCCTCCCTACAGGCAGCTCAGATCCCCTACCTGCCCCTTGTAGCTGACTGCCTCAGCCCGGCCCCCTCTTGGTGCCTCCTTCTCCCTGGTGCCACCCCACTCATCCCCGCTTCGTTAAGGTCATTGTGGCGATTAAGCAAGTGAATATGTGTAAAGCTTTTTAAATGGTTATTGTTATTGGCTCTTCAAGTTACAAACAATCCTATTAACATGGTGGTTGGAATTAGATTGATTGCATTGGCATTTTTACAACTCGGGGTCCGCCTGCCCGGGAACAGTGTCTGTCCCTGCTTAGTCAGGGGTTCCTTTATGGCCTGACTGCTGCCCTCTTGTAAAATCGCGTTTTCCCTCCCATCCCAGGTGGCTTGGACTGCTCCATCTCCTTCGTGTCTCAGGTCCTTGGGAAAGCCTGTGTCCACGGGAGGCAGAGTAAGTGTGTCCTGTCTCAGGAGAAGCCGCGGCACCTTCTGGCCCTCTCCCTGTCTCCTGTTGGCCGTCCCGGGAGGGGCAGCATGGTTGTGCAGGGTGGGAGAATCGCTGCGTGTTCGGAATCAGCGAGGGTCCCTGGCCTGGCCCTGGGTGGGCTGATGTTGGCTGTCCTGGGCCCCTTGGCAGGGGCTTAGCTGTGCAACTGGTGGGCCTGTGGGCTGCAGACACTGGACGCCCCATGGCCCCGGGCTCAAGGCCTCCATGTGCTTCCCCTCAGAGGAGATCCTGGGTGTGCTGGTGCCCCGGCTGACAGCGCTCATCCAGGGCAGCTGCCTCTGGCAGCGGGTCTGCTGGCGCCTGGTGGAGTGCGTGCCTGACCGGGCAATGGAGGCTGTGCTCACAGGGCTCGTGGAGGCCGTCCCGGGGTAAGAAGCAAGGCACCCATCCCGCTGCAGAAGCTTCTCTCCCAGGAGAGTGTGGAGTGGGGATCCGGACAACACCACCTGCCGTTCTTCTGTCTGTATGTAGTCAGTGCTCTCGGCCCATGGGCGGTGGCCCCTCTGTCTGGTGGCCGGTCCTTTTTTAGTCACCGTTTGAGGCTGGCTGTTAACTGTGCCAGCAGGCATCCTTTCGGGGCCTACCCAGCCTGGTCCTGGAACCTCCGCACCTGGCTGGTGTTGTCCGCACCTGGCTGGACCGAGACTGATGCTGTGGTCCCCTCTGCTGAGGCCCACGACATGGCCACGTCCGACCTGCTTGGGGCCTGCCCTTCCTATGCTTTCACAGTAGCCACCGTCCACGTCAGCACAGCTTTTGTGCCTCAGGCCCACGCATGGACACTGAGGCCGGCTCTCTGGCCCTTTCGCCCTCCACAGGGTTTTGGTGAATCTCCTTTGCACACATCTGTGTGTGCGTGTGCACACGGATCTGTAGGATGCATTCTTGGAAACAGGGTTGCTGGGTCATTTGGACTGTTGTCGACTGTGCCTTTAGACGGTCTCCCCGGCATGTGTGATGGGTGCCTGTTTCTCGGCCAAAAATGCTTTCTCCTTGTGGGCCTCTGCATTTCCTGGACTCTGGGTGCGGGGGTGTGTTAAGGCGTCTGTGCTTCTCTCTGTGAACTATCTGATCATGTCTATCACTCGCTTTTTTTTTTTTTTTTGCTTGAGGAAGATTGTCCCTGAGCTAACATCTGTGCCAGTCCTCCTCCATTTTGTACATGGGACGCTGCCACAGCATGGCTTGATGAGTGGTGTGTAGGTTGCCCGGGATCCGAACCCATGAACCCCAGGTTGCTGAAGTGGAGCACCTGAACTTAACCACTACGCCAACGGGCTGGCCCCTTCACTCACTTTTATACTGGGTTCCCGGCCCTTGTTTACCTGTGAAATCTCTGCAGGAGTGGAGGCCCTTGCCTGTCACTCCACACGCTTCAGGTCTCCCCAGGGTCACTGCTTAGGGTTTCAGGCTCCTCTGTCTCCCCGGTATCCTGCTCCCTGCTCTAAGGTTGTAGGTCGGTTTGTGTGGGTTTTCCTTCTCTGCTTTTTCAGTTTTCTTACTCTTTTTTCTGTCTTTTAACCTTTACGTCTCTGACCACGTAGCATTTTAGCATGATGAAGGAGGTGAGAAATGTAGCCTCCCCTCTTTCCATGCTGGTTGGAGGGTTTGTCGAGCTCTCACTTACTGAAGGAATCTAGTCTTAGTCTAGATCAGGAGTCTGCAAACTACAGCCTTTGAGCTAAACACGGCCCACCCTGTGTTTTTATAAGTAAAGTTTTATCCGTACACAGCCATGCTCATTCATGTACATCTCTGTTGGTGGCTGCTTCTGGCTACAGTGGCTCTACAGAGCCTGATGGCCCATAAACCTAGAATGTTCACTCTCTGGCCCTTCACAGAAAAGGCTGGCCGCCCTGCTCCGGATGAAGCATTTAACCCTGGACTCAGTCAGAGCAGGGAAGGGGTGTTCTCTTGCATTGAGGCACTGGGCTCTCCCTGGTTTCCACATTTACCAGAAGGAGGGAGAATCAAGACCAACTCAGAGCTGAAGTACGCGCCTGGGCTCGCTGGTGGTTAGCGCAGAGCCCAGGGTCCAGCCTGGATCTGTTGGGATCCGGGGCTCATACTCCCCACGCCAACTGTACCTTGCAGGCCTGAAGTCCTCGCGCGACTGTTGGGAAACCTGGTGATGAAGAGTAAGAAGGCCCAGTTTGTGCTGACTCGGAAGCTTCTGTTCTTACAGTACAGATGCACGGTGAGAGGCTGGTGCGGGTGTGGGCTGTGGGCCGCCCGGGTCCCAGGAGAAATGACTGGAGTGAGTGGAGCAGGAGCAGTGCTCAGCTGCCCGGCTTTTGTCGCAGACGCCCACACTGCAGAGCCTGCTGGGGTACCTGGCCATGGACAGCCAGCGGCGCCCGCTCCTTGTACAGGTGAGCCCTGTCCGGTCCTCAGTGCCTGCAGAGTCCTGGGACCACTTTCTGGTGGGAAAGGAGGAGAGAGTGTTCCTGCCTGGGCAGGGGGCACTAGCCAGTGCCTCCCTGAGCCTGGCAGTGGGTGACAGGTGCTGGCAAGGACCGTGGCACCCAGACCCGTGTGGTCCCAGGCCATGGCGGGGAGGTGGGTGGGCTGTCTGACCAGGCTGGGCTGTGCCGCCTGCCAGGTGCTGAAGGAGCTCCTGGAGACGTGGGGCAGCGGCAGCGCTGTCCGCCACACGCCCCTACCGCAGCAGCGCTACATCAGCGAGGCCGTCCTCATCTGCCTGGCGCACCTGGGGGAGGCGGAGCTCCGGGACAGCCGGGACGGTGAGCAGGCGGTGTGGGCACCCCGTCCCTGTCCCCGGGCGCCTCCTAGCGCTCAGTGTGTGTCGGTGCTTCCAGAGTTGCTGGCCAGCCTGATGGCAGGAGTGAAGTGCCGCCTAGACAGCAGCTTGCCCCCTGTGCGCCGCCTGGGCATGATCGTGGCTGAGGTGGCCAGTGCCCGGATCCACCCCGAGGGGCCTCCCCTGAGGTTCCAGGTGAGTGAGGACTGTGCCCTCCATGGTCTCCCCAAGCTGCTGTCACTCCAGCCCTGGTGTCACCTCACCTTCCAGGGTCCAGGACCACAGAACATGTGCATGTTGCCATCACATTGGCCCTGGCGGCCCTGCTGAGGGTCGAGGCTCAGGGCAGTGGGTATAGCCTGTCAGCTCCTGCCTGAGCATGTGTGCCGGGGGGTTCCCTGGGGTGTTCGCAAGTCTTTTCTCTAGACAGGGCTCTCTGGCAGCCCCAGGCCCTGGTGGACGGTGGATGGGCATCCCCTCCCCTCCGTCTGCTGAGCCCTCTGGGACGTCCCCGGGGATTCTCACCTCCTTCAGGAGGGGTGGCCTCTCTAGCCTTCAGCACACCCAGTGCCGCCTTCTGCCAAGGCGGAGACTTGGAAAGTGGCTCTGAAAGGCTGTTGGCTGTCAGAGGCCCGGCTGGGGTACTGGCTGCGGGCTGTGGTGGGAGGGCCTTGGGGGGGTAAGGCTCTGCTGCTCCGGCTGCTCCCAGCCCAGCCGACTCCGGCTCCTCTGCATTGCAGTATGAAGAGGACGAACTGAGCCGCGAGATGCTGGCCTTGGCCACCTCCCGGCCTGCGGCTGACAGCCCTCTGGAGGCAGGGTGAGGGTCTCTGTGCCCCGAGGTCCCCACCCTGAGCTCTGGGTGTGGTTGGCTGGGCGGGGCTGTGGGCAGTTCCTGTGCACGTGTTAGCTCTCATCATTCTGGACTCGTGTTGCTGAGTCAGAAGCTAAGAAGACTAGGGTAGGGGTGGAAAGAGCGTTTCCTTGGGTTCTGGGAGCAGAAACTCGTGTGAGGTATCCCTGAAGGGTCCTTCTTTGTTTCCCAAAAGCTCATCTGTCACTCCAGTCACTGCAGAGACCCCTGACAAAGAGACTGAGGACGGTGGCGCCCCACAGCCACGGCCGGAGGGCTCTGATTCCGAGCTGGACAGGTAGGCGGGTATCTGAGGCAGAAGCGCGGAGATGCAGGAGCAGCCCTGGCTGGGTCAGAGCCCCGAGTGCGAGCATCTCGAGGTTATGGGACCAGCCTTGCAGCGCTGCGCTGAGCGCTCTCTGGCATTTCTCCCACTATGAAGATAAGCGGGTAAGGCTCTCAGCTCCACTGCAGCCTTAGCCCCTCAGCCCTTCCTGAAGCTTCAGGGACTTTGGGGGTGAATTTTGGTGATGCAGGAGCGTGGCCTGGTGGTGGAGGGCGCCTCCATGCCTGTTGTCTGCTCTTGGGCGACTGGCGGGCCTCACTGGCGGGCTGTGTCTGTGCTTCTTCCACAGCGATGACGAATTTGTCCCTTATGACATGTCGGGGGACCGAGAGATGAAGAGCAGCAAGGCGCCGGTGTACATCCGGGACTGCATTGAAGGTGGGTCTCTCTCCTCGGTGTTGCCCGGCGGAGCACCCAGTGGTGAGGCCCCAGCCCTGAGGACAGCCCTGCCTTGGGACAGCTGGGCTGTGGGGACTGTCCATGTCCTGGAGGTTCACCTTCTGCCCAGTGCCCAGACCCTGGCCACCAGCTGCACCTTTCTCAAGGTCGAGGCTGAGGACTGATAGAGGTCCGTCTGGGTTTTGTGCAGCTCTGACCATATCTGAGGACTGGGAGCGCTGGGAGGCGGCCCTGCGGGCCCTTGAAGGACTGGTTTTCAGGAGCCCAGCTGCCACTCGGGAGGTGAGTGGGTGGGGGGACCAGGTTGTCAGTGTCATGGGAGGTGGGTGACATTTTGGGAGGGACGTGTGCTGTTAGGGAACCCGATCTGGCTTGAGTGTGTGCCTTGGTGGTTCTGTGTCCCCATAGGAGGCCTGCGGCCGGGGCCTCCGCTGGGATGGGGAGGTGGAGGACGTGGAGGCCCAGGCTCTCTGAGATGTGTCTCTTCAGTGGTAAGGAAGGCGAGGGCTGTGGGGGGCCCGGGGCAGGCCCTGGGGCTGAAGGCACCCTGACCCATGTGCAGGTGAGTGTGGAGCTGGCCAAGGTGCTGCTGCACCTGGAGGATAAGACGAGCGTGGCAGGATTCGAGGGGCTACGCCAGAGAGCCCTGGTGTCCGTCACGGTCACAGACCCGGCCCGGGTGAGTCCCAGCGGCTGTATGGTGCCCAAGGTCGTGTCCCCTTCACCCCCTAGTAGTGTCCGTGTTGGGGCCCTATCTCCACGGTCATGGCCCACAGTGGCCTCTCGTTTGCCTGGCTTAGGTAGCGGAGTATCTGACCTCACAGTTCTACGCCGTCAACTACAGCCTTCGGCAGCGCATGGACATTCTGGATGTAAGTGCGCCCGGGCCCTCTGTCCCACTGGTCAGGCCCAAGCTGCCCTAATGCGAGGGGCCCGGCCTGGCACAAAGCCAGGTGTTTGCTGAAATCTATGTGGACAGGACCAGAGGTCTTCCGAGTCCCTTGTCACTGGACCTAAGAGGCTGGTACTGGTGTCTAATGTTTTCCTGGCAGCGCACAGGATCCAATAGGGGCTTCAGTGGCTGCATTCTGTGTTTTAAATAACAGTTTTATTGAGATATAATTTACACACCATAAAAATTTGCCATTTGAAGATAAGCAAAATGTGGTATATTCATACAATGGAATATTATCCGGCCTTAAAAGGGAAGAAAATTCAGACACCTGCTACAGCATGGATGAACCTGGAGGACATTATGCTCAGTGAAATAACCCAGACACAAAAGGACAAATACCGTACGATTCCACTTTGTGAGGTCCCTAAAAGAGTCAAATTCACAGAGACAGAGAGTAGAAGGGTGGAGGCCAGGGGATGAGGAGTTGTTGTTTAGCGGGGACAGAGTTTCGGTTTTGCGAGATGAAAAAGTTATGGGGCTAAATGGTGGTGATGGTTGCACAACAACGTGAATGTACTTAATGCCAGTGAACTGTACACTTAATAGTGGTTAAGATGGTAAATGTTATGTGTGTTTTATAACACCAAAACAGGAAGACTAAGACAACACTAAAAATATTTCACCGTTTTAACATTTACAGTTCGGTGGCATTTGGTGTATTCATAATGTCATGTGACCATCATGTCCATCTACTTTCAGAACATCTTGCATCACCCTCCCCTCCCCCAGCCCCTGTCTGCCCTCTGTCTCTGAGGATTTGCCTGTCCTGGTGCTTCCTCTCAATGAAGTCATACGTGTGGCCTTTTGGGTCTGACTTCTTTCCCTTGTGTGTTTTCAGGGCCCATCCATGAGTAGCCTGCAGCAGAACTTCGTTCCCGTTTCCTATGAGGCGGTGGGGCGTGGGGGCAGGATTGGATGAGCTTTGGGAAAGGAAGTAGCCCCGGCCAAGGGGAGCAAAGGCACTGGCTTGTCACTAGGGAGCATGCCCACCTTTCCCTCATGCCTCTCCCAAGTCAAGTGATCCTGAGATACTTGGAATTGACTTTCTATGGGCTTCCCAGAACCTCCCCTGCACAGACTGTGAGGACTGCCCGCTCCGACAGGGGTAGGGGGCACTTAGAGGGTCCTTCCGCAGAGTGACGGCAGCTGCCTTGGCTCTTCCTCACCTCTAGGTCCTGACTCTGGCTGCCCAAGAGCTGTCTCGGCCTGGGCGCCTCGGGAGGGCTCCCCAACATGGCTCCCCAGGTCCCACCTCCCAGCCTGGCAGCGCTGCGGCTCCTGCCTGGCGGGCAGTTGTGGAGGAGCGGATCAGAAGCAAGACCCGGCGGTTCTCGAAGGTCAGCCAGGACCCAGGTCAGGTCTTCATGGGTGGGGACTTTGAGTGGGCTGGCCCAGCTGTCGGCTACCTCTAGATGCTGTCTGCGCTGAGGGAGCAGTGTCCACGCCAGTGTTGGTGAAGGGAGAGTTTTTGGTACAAACTGAACGATGTGACTGTCAAACTGAAGTAGTTCTAAAATGTGAATGCAGATGTGGGCATGGAAAAAGCCCCAAGGATTCTACGTCAGCAGCAATCGAACTGAGGTGTGCTGCGTCATTGGGGTCCATCTAGGCGGGGGCTGATCTTGCCCCCGGGACATGTGGCCACATCGGGAGACATTCTTGGTTGTCACCTGGGTGGGTGTTGCTGGCATCCGGGGTGGGGGCCTGGGAGACTGCTCCTCCTCCCACGGTGCACAGGACGGCCCCTCCACGAGAAGCATGTAGCCCAAGTGTCTGCAGTGTGAGGTCCCACCGAGGGGAGGGCCTGCCCTACACCTGGTGTGGCGCCCCGTGACCACCACATGTTCGGCAGGGCTTTGCAAGGCAGGGACCGGCCACGGGCCCCAACGAATTCAACTCGGTGGCTGGCTCCTTCTTCTTCCCTCTCATTCAACATTTTGACAGGTGAGTGGGAGGCCTGTGATTTGGGGAACAGGGGCCCTGGGCACCCTGACAGACAGGAGGCTTCCCAGGGTGGGGTCTGAAGTGGGGCTTGGGGCAACAGTGGGGTCACGACCTAGGCTGTGGTTGTTTGTAGCTTAAATGACGTGAGGGCACTAGGTGTCACGGTCCCCATCACAAATGTTGAGTTCATGGTGGGGCCAGAGCTTTGCTGTGCTGTCTCAATGCTATATGCGCTCTGCCCGACCCTCACTTGCCTCCTCGTCCCTTCTCAGCCTGAGAGGGCTATGGACGTCCCCTCGGCACCACCGCACAGTGTGGGGCTGTGGTGATGCTGGGGAGGGCTGGGGCCTGAAGCCCTTCCCTGTGGAGCAGGGCTGGGGCTGCGCCTTTGCTGCGTGTCGCCCTGCAGGTGGCGGTCCTGCTTCTGTGAGGGCCACTGGCCCCTCCTTCCTGACCCAGGCCCAGGATTGTGCCAGGCAGCCCTGCAGAGCAACTGGGGCATGTGTCCAACACCTTCTCCTTATAGCTCTGGGCGCCACATGGGGACAGGCAGGGAGGAGGAGCGTCCGGGGTCTAGGGTGTCCCTCGGTGGCCCAGGAGGTAAGGGAGCCGGCCCCAAGTGCCTGGCCTGCACCATTCACTGGATTCTGTGTTGTAGGCCTCTGGTGACCTTCGACCTTTTGGGAGATGACCAGTTGGTTCTGGGGAGACTGGCCCACACCTTAGGGGCCCTGATGTACCTGGCTGTGAATACCACGGTGAGCAGGGAGACAGCAGCTGATGGCCCCTACCTCACGTGCAGTGTGCGCTGTGGTCCTCTCCCCAAGCCTCACCTTGGCCCTGGGAACAGAAGTGTTTGGATCCAAGGACGGGGTCTGAGGCCGGGACTGCTGGGTGCCAAGACCCCTGCCCACTGGCCTCTGCTGTTTCAGGTGGCTGTGCCCATGGGCAAGGCCCTGCTGGAGTTCGTGTGGGCCCTTCGCTTCCATGGCGATGCGTGAGTGGCTGTGGGGCCGAGGGCAGTGGTCCCACATGGAGGCAGCAGGGGGGTGGCTCTGAATCCTGCCGGAAAGTGGTCAGTGGGAGGCTGCTGGCGGCCCCCAGGGGTGGCCAGGAGGCAGCTCGCTGCACTTCCTAAGCAGGAAGGAAGGGGGCCGAGTGGGGCCAAGGGGCTTTTGTTGCCAGGCGTCTGCTGTACTCAGGGGAGAAGCGGGGTCTCCCTGGCCTGGGGGGGGCGAGCACCAAGCTGAGGCCCTCCCGCCTTGCTTGGCAGCTATGTGCGCCGGGGCTTGCTCTCTGCTGTCTCTTCCGTCCTCCTCAGCGTTCCGGCCGAGAGACTGCTGGCGGACCTGCCAGACGAGCTCCTGGAAGCCCGGTCCTGGCTGGCAGGTGAGAGCTGGGCTGTGGGTGCAAGGCAGGCGGGAGGCTGGTGCAGCCTGGAGGGTCTGTGCAGAGGCCCCGGCGCTGAGCGAGTCCCAGTCCATGGCCCAGCACGTGTCGTGTCCCTCTTCGTCTGTGCACTGAGTGTCCCCAGTGTGGGGATGGGGACTCCTACAGGAGGCCCTGAGAGAAGGTGCCCTGTCATGGGAGATGGCATCTGGATTCATTCTGGAAAATTCCAAATCTTTGGAAAGGATACAAGAGGCACACAGCACCATGCATCCTCACCAGATTCACCAGTTATTAGCATTTTGCCCACCTCTGTTCTTTTTAAAAAGTGTTGTGGCCAGTGTGGCCTCCCACCAGTAGGTACTTGAGCTGGCCCCCAGAGCCAGCACACCCCTTCCACTCTTGGGCTCACAGCTGGGACTGTACCCCCTGATCTGTGGCCAAAGGCCCAGCGGTTCCCATGGTAACCTTCTTCTTTCCTTTCTGCCGGATCCCGGGTCCAGGCGAGGCTCCTCCATGACCCTGAGCTCTCCTGCCTCCCCAGGCTCCTCCAGTCCAGCTCGTCCCAATGGTGCTGTGTGCCTCTTGTATCCTTTCCAAAGATTCGTCTTTGGTCATGTTGGTCCCCCTCGGCATGGGTTTCTCTGACCACGTCTCGAGTTATGTGTGTCAGGGCGGCTCTGGCAGGGCCAGGTCTTCCTCAGGGTCTCATGCTGCAGGTGTGGCATCCAGCGTCCCGGGACGGGTTCCAACGTCTCGGGAAGCAGGCATCTTCCCAGGGGTGAGAGTGGCGCCCTTGTAGTGACTGCTGGGGGCCGTGTGTCTGTTCTGTCCTGCCGCCTCCCGGTCGCCATCACCTGGCGGGGTTCCCAGCCCCAGGTGGAGGGGAGTGTGGCTCCTGCACAGGGATGCAGTCAGGAGCCCTTTGCTGGCGTCTGAGCTGCTTCTATCAGCAGGGACCGCAGCGTGAGCGTTCCGGTGCCTTCACGAAGACATAAATGAGAGGAAACTGAAAAGGGTTGGCCTGCTCAGCAGTGTGATACCGCGTGTGTTCTGTTTTTATTTTCATCTTCGGCAGACGTGGCTGAGAAGGACCCAGATGAGGACTGTAGGATGCTGGCGGTGAAGGCGCTGCTGCTTCTGGAGAGACTCAAAGACAGACTCCTCCCACTTTCTTCTTAGTCCCCGGCACCTTCTCAGCGCCAGTCCCACTGGGAGAGGTGAAGGCTGGGCAGGCTGAGTGCAGGGCCCGAGGAGGGATCCCAAAAGTCTTGTGGTTTTGTGGCCCGGCCAGTTCGTGGGTGGGCCATCTGGTACGAGCGTGCAAGCAGGAAGGCCACTGCCCCCACTCCTGCCACTACTTATATCCTGGAAAGTCTGAGTGCATAGCTACAGTCCCCACGAGGCCCTCTGGACAGTGCCCCCCACGGACAGAGCACCCTGAAGGTCGGGTCGGGTCCCTGAGGAGGGCCACAGGCAGGGCAGAACCCGCAGAGCGGTGGTTGCTGGAGGGAAGAGGGCACTGATGTGCAGAGCTAGATGCACAGAGTGGTGGCTGCTGGGGCCCCGTGGGCTTCCTAGTGTTATGTCCCCAACCCTCTTCTCACTTAAAGGCAGGTGACTTTGAAAAACAACAAAAAAGGAAGAATAAGAAGGATCTGCAGGTGCTCAAGTCCAAGCTTTGCTTGTGTTCTCACTGCTCAGGCAGGGACCTTGGAGCCCAGACCAGCCGTCTGAAGGGGAGACCTTAAAAATGGGGATGGGAAGGGGACACGGGCCTCTGAGAAGCTATGAGGAGAGTTTTGGGGCTGATGGGTGGGGCTAGGAATGGGAGAGCCTGAGGTCACCATCCCCTCACAGTGGGAGCTGGTGACAGAAAGGGCAGGGCCTAAAGGGCAGAGCCATGAGAGCTGCCGGGAGGCTGCCACGCAGAGGGAACCTGGCCACCCAGTGTCTCCTCACTCCAGCGGACAGCCGGTCCTGTGCTCAGGAGTGGGGTGTCCTGCCGGAAACTGTTGGATGCACTGTCACAACCCACCCGGGTGCTGAGACGAGGTACAATAATATACTAACATTCTCAGTTTATGAAGTTCTGGAAATTTCTTAGGCTTTACAGGCTATACTTGGGAAATGTCATGGGAAAAATGGACCAACTCCCTCAGTAAAGGAGCTGAACCAAAAATCCACAGGAGCCAGGAATGCAGAAAGGATGGCTCAAAAATACATACACACTGTCCCCTTTTAAGCAAGCAGCCAGTGCCCCTGGGGCCGCAGTGGTTGGCTGCGTCTTTCCATAGCTCTGCCTAGTACTCAAACACAAAAGTTCTTTCAACAAGAGAGCCTCTTGCTACTACAAGTGACTGGAAAATTCCAGAACAGCTTTCACAGCAGCAGGCTGTGGCCATCAGGGGTCATTCTCCACCTCCTCCATCACCTCCTCGTCGATCTCCTTGTGATCCTCCACGCTGTTGTGGCGGATCCGCTCAGGCACCACGCGCGTCAGAGGGATGCCCAGGCCCTGGTGCACAGCGTCCACGGTCTGCTGGCTCACATAGTACGACATGCTGGCAGAGGGCATTCTCCTCCGCATCTCCTCCAGATGCTTGTAGGCCTGGGTCAGACAGAACAGCCGTTTCTGGTTAGTCCACAGTGAGAACCAAAGGGCCCATCCCCTTCATCTGCGGCAATGAGTTTCCTGAACACCCAGCCCTTGGGTCAGAGGAAAACTGTTCCCTACTTCTCCAGCGAGCAGGGCAAGGATGCCTTTGTTAGAGGGAGCCGAGTACAATCGTCTGCAGCTTCCCAGCCTCTCCAAGGGGTGGTGGTATTGGAGGACAGATGGTTCAGGCTCTGATGGTCGAAGCTGTAAGCCGTGATCAGCACTACCAGATGAACAGGCAGTGCCAGCTGCCCCGGAAAGTCCTGTGAGCAGCTCGTGTATGCAGGCCCATGGGTGCTTTGGGACCACACCCCCCGGTAGGATCTGCCCACCCTGGATGCACACAGGGAGACCCTGAGGGAAGGACGGATTCATGTCTCTTTTTAATTCACTCTGGGGTGAATGCTTGTCGGGTTGGAGGGCAGGCAGTAATATATATATAAGTAGTTTGTCTTGTTTCCTTTCACCACGCATCAAATTTATCCCAGTTAATTGGGCCTATGATTAATTTGAGTCTCTTGTATGTATGGTCCTTGGTCCTTGGCCAGTAAACTATGGAATTTTCAGTGTTTTTCCTGTGGAACTTCCTCCAGTCCTGTCAGTGGGAATGTGTGGGAGAGCATGGGGGTGCCACGCAGAGTAGCTTAGGGCATCAAGGATCTGAGGCAGGACAGGTGTGCTTACGTCTGCCACATCTACCCTCACCTGCCCACATCTGCTTACACCTACCCTCAACCTACCTATACCTGCCCACACCTGCTATGCCTGCCTTCACCTGCTCACACTTGCTACAGCTGCGCGCCCACAGGAAGGGCCACACACAAGCATGAGTGGGGAGGAACAGGGCCTCATGTGGCTTCTAAGGCTTACCTCCAAGGTACACTTTATATCAATTGAGAATGTCACCAAAATTTCTAGGAGCTTTTTAATTTTCTTTATGAGGAATAATAATCAGATCTTAGTATTTCTTAAAGATGATTAAACTTTAAGAGCAATTTTATTTTGGGCAGATATAACTAAGATATGAAAGATAAAGATTACAAAGATAAAAATATGAAGATAGAATATGGTTTTTGGAGGGATGGGGGATTGGCAGAGTACAAGCCCCCCAGGAGTTCTCAAACGAGGGGAGAAGAGACATCCTCACATGAAGGACCTACTTAGGGATTTATCAGTTGCCTGCTGTGACCAGGCACTGTGCTGAGAGGCCCAGGCCAAGCTGAAGGTGGCCAGAGCTTTGGAAGGGGGTGAGGTCTGGCAGCAAGCAGAATCCAGGGAGTGCCTACACTAAGGAGGCAGGAGACTGTGGGAGAAGAACCCTGTGGTCAGAAGGGACCCACGCATAAGTGAACACAACCAGGGCCCAGTGGTGTAACTCCTCAGTGTGCAGGGCAGGTTCCACAAAGGGCAGGGAGGCAGTTTCTAGAAGGAAGGTGTGCTCACCAAAACAGATGCAGGGCAATGAAGACAGAAACGTTACTGGATGTCTGAGAACTGAGGCGGGAGGAACGACAGGGAGGAGTTTGAAAGTGAAGCGAAGGAGAGAAGCCAGAGCAGCAACGGGGTTTTCTTTGCCCACCAAGAGGAAGCTCGTGCACACCTATACTTTCAGTTTATTGATAGAGCCTTTTTTTTTTTTTGGTGAGGAAGATCAGCGCTGAGCTAACATCTGTGCCCATCTTCCTCTACTTTATATGGGACACCGCCACAGCATGGCTTGACAGGTAGTGTGTCGGTGCGCACCTGGGCTGCTGCAGCGGAGCACACGCACTTAAGCGCTATGCCACCGGGCAGGCCCGTGATAGAGCTTTTTAAAATTTAGGGTTACTAAATCCCATAGGCTTCAAACAAGGGTCAAGACAACAAAGAATTTGGTGAAATACTTGAAATGTGATTTTTCTGTTAATTTTGAGAATATAGTAGTCTGAGCATCCTTATAGTCCAGTTGTATTTTTATTCTCCAAAAAAGAAGGAACCTTATCGAGATTAGATTAAGAGCTGTTTTCTCCCAACAACAAGATGGGTCAGTGAATGGAAATGGGCGGGGGACAAAGAGGAAGGGAGTGAGCAGATCAGGAACCTGAGCTTCATGGTCTGACCTTTCAGACTGGGGGAGCGACATGGATAACCTTCCTGTGGATTCTGGAAACTTCAGCCTGATGAGGCTGGCATAGTTCACTAGCAACAGTTTTGAAATTAATTTGACAATACTTGGTCCGTGAGCACTTGGGAAAGGGAGATGAGAGATTGCTTGGGGTCACTGTAGTTTCACCAGGAACTATCTACTAGGTTAACTCAGCTGGGGGTGGAAGGAGACGCTGTAGGCAGAGCAAAGTCTATATGGCACTCTTTGGAACACAGGAAAAATGCAGCCAGGTGGAATTCTTATGTTGGTTTCAATTATGATTGAAAAGATGAGGAGAGAGACTTCTGGTAACGGCAGAGTAACTCATATTATACCAACCCTCTCACAGACAATGATAAAGTGGGCAAAACATAAAAGGCACCAGAGGACAACTGTGGGCAGGTAGAGCTAGGCAGAGCCAACATGTGGAAGAAGGGAGGAGCAGGGGTGAGTGTCCTGCTTGTCACTTCTGCGCAGGGCAGGCCCCAGTCAGGGCCACTGTGGGAAGCTGACAGGGACACAGAACCCTCTCCTCTCGCTGGCTTAAAGAGCCAGAATGAGAGCTGGGGTAAGCCACAGCAGCTGGAACGTGAGGAAATACTGGAGAAGAGGAGTCACAGAAGGGAGCCCACATTCTGAGCATGAACTCTGCCCTGATCTCTGGTTGACCCTGCACTCTGCATGTGGTGGGGACAGGGGCAGACCTCAAGAAGCCCCACCAAAGCTACAGTCCTGAGGAGGGAGGGAGAGAGGGAGGGAGGGGGAGAAAGGAGGAGGAGAGAAAGAGGGGAAAAAAAGAAAGAAACAGTAATACTCTTTGGAGAAACATTACAGAACCCAGAGTCTCTGTAATGGGTTATCCACAATGTCCCGGATATAAAAAAATTGCTAGACATAAGAAGAAACAGGGAAACTTGACCTATACTCAAGAGAAAAGACAAATAATGGAGACACACTTGACATGATCAAGATGTTGGCATTAGCAGCGAAGACTTTACAGGAGCAATTTTAACTATGCTCCAGTGTATAAAGGAAAATACGTTTTTAATGAATGAACAAATAGGAAATTTTAGCAAAGAAGTAAAAACAAAAAGAACTATGTTTAAACTCTAGAACTGAAAAATACAAAATCTAAAATGAAAACTTTGCTGGAGAGGTTAACAGCAGATTGAAGATAGCCAAAGAAAGTCAGTGTATTTGAAGACAGATCAATGTAAGTTATCCAATTCAAATAATAGAAAAAAGATAGAAAAAAATGAAAGAAAGAAGCTCAGGATAACTACAATGAAAACGTCTAAAGATATCATCATCCAATGGCTGAGACCCGAAAAGAGAAAACTGAAGGGAAGGTGGGGAGGGAGAGAGAGAGAGCGCTCTTACTCCGGAGACCTGCAGAGGGTCCTATCTGAGTCGTCATCTGAGTAACGACCAACATGCATGCGTGTGAGGAAAGCACTTGAGGCCAGGGAAAGACCATCAGAAAGGAGCAGGTGGAACAAGCCCCGAGATCAACCACCCGCGACAGGAGCAGTTCACGCTCCACTAGCCAGGATGGGAAGACCTGCCAATGCACTAGGCACTGAGCGAGTCCTCAGGGGGCACTGCCTTGGTAATGGGGTGAAATTAGCTCTAGATGCAAGGCTTTTCTGGACGCATCTAACAAAGATAAAATACAGCTGCAAGAGGATCAAATTGTTTCCAAGGAACTTAGCCTCATCCCAGAACAAAGC